TCTTACCAAAACCTTTAGGATGCCATGAAAGCAATAGTAAGATGGGAATTCATATTTTTACAAACACACAAGAAGAAAATGGAAAGATCACAAGTTAACAGCATAACAAGTCACCTAAGGAATCTGGAAATGCAAGACCACCAAAACCCTAACTTCAGCAGAAGAATCCAGATCACCAAAATAAAAGCCCAAATCCAAGACATAGACGACAAAAAGATAATACAAAAAAAAAAAAAAGAAAGAAAGAAAGAACGAAAGAAAGAAACAAAAAACTGGTTCTTTGAAAGGATAAACAAGATAGATGGTCCCCTAGCCAGATTGACCAAGAAAAAGAGAGAAAAGGCCCGAATAAACCCAAACAGAAACATAAAAGATGAAGTCACAATTGACCCTGAAGAAATACAAAAGATTATCAGAGCCTACTATGTATAATTGTAAGGAAAGAAACTTGAAAATATAAAGAAAATGGAGGCCTTTCTGACATCACACAACCTCCCTTGGTTGAAATAAGAAGAAACTGAGACCCTAAATAGACCAATAAAAATCAAGAAAATTGATTATGTCATAAGAAAACTACCTACAAAAGAAAATCCTGAACCAGACGGCTTTCCAGCCAAATTCTACAAAACATACAATGAGAAACTGATATCAATCCTATTGAAAGTATTCCAGGAGTGGGCAGGTGGGGAGGTGGGATTGATAGTAGTCGATATCTGCCTGGGGAAGGGAGGGCACACCTCATCAATAAGGGTACCTACATGGTGAATATTTGTATACTTAGCCCTGAATTGTACACCACAATTTTAAAATAAAAATTAAAAGAGAAAAAAAAAAAAAGAAAAGAAAATATAGGGGCTGGGTGCAGTGACTCATAGGGGCTGGGTCTGTCATCTCAGGGAGGCTGAGGTGGGAGGATCACTCAATGCCAGGAGTTCAAGACCATCTTGGGCAACACAGTGAGACCTCACCTCTACAGGTTTGGTTTTTTTTAAAATTAGCCAGGCATGGTGGTGTGTGCCTGTAGTTCCAGCTACTTGGGAGGCTGAAGCAGAAAGATCACCTGAGCCCGGGAGGTCGAGGCTGCAGTGAGCTGTGATCATGTCACTGCATTCTAGCCTGGGTGACAAAGGAAGACTTTGACTAAAAAAACAAAAATTAGAAAAAGCAAGCACTCAAGAAAGAAATATAGAATGAAATAAAGAATACACAGATATTTAAATATATATACATATATTTGATTAAATGTAAGGGTATTTTGAGGTATTTTTTTCTCTTGCATCTTATTAGACATCAGTAGTTTACTTGAGAGTAGAAAAGAAAGCAATTCCATTCATGATTCCAACAGCATACAATATGATGTTTACTATTTTTCCCTGAAAAACTTAAAATATTTAACAATTTTTTTCTTAATCATTGTATCTTATAAATCTTGCTTAAATATTGTTCAGAAACAGGATTTTCCTGTGAGCAAGATCTTCAGTTGAATTTAATAAAGTCATGATTTTCATGATTTATGATGGGATTATTAACTCACTGTCATATGGATTTGGGTTCACATTTATAACTGCTATAAACAGTAGATTGACATTTTGAGTGTATCAAAAGCAGGCATACCAGAAAGCTGTAATATAGAAATCAGAAGTACAAAGAGTTACTGGCAACTTACAAAAGGGCCTACACTGGCAAAAAACTAGGGTTTGGATCTACTGAAATTTCTAATCCCCAGAAATATAAAATCGACTAGTCCTATAAATTGTCCTTGAAGAACAGAAGAGGAATGAGAATAGCTTTGCTGAACACACAAACACACACAATTGTGCTGCTTTCTGATTATTTTATATCTATAACTATGAATGTTTTACTTGCACATAGATATGTAGCCTAAAATATTTAATTCCATTGGTATTAACACAATTGCTGTATCTACTTTTTGCAGTACAGAAACACAAATTTACCACATGATTTGTATCATCCTTTATTCCAAGTAGGCATCCATTGATTTAGAAAAAAGAGACAGTTTAAAAAAATTTTTTTTTAATTTTTGGCACAGAATGAGCTAAGAGATTTTTATTAGGACCACAAAGGAGGTGGAGATAAGGTAATGACTAATTTAAGGAAGAATAAAAGTGACACCATGACAGGAAAAGAATAGAGAGAGAAAGTGGTAACATGTAAAGAGAAATAAACAAATATGATCGATAGATTTTTTTCTCATTTATTTTCCAGTAGGGTTTTGTGGGTGTAGATGGTCAATTGCAAAATAATCAAAGGACTCCAATTCAAAGCTATAGATAATTCTTTATTATTTATTTATTTATTTTTGAGTTGGAGTCGCACTCTGTCGCCCAGGCTGGAGTACAGTGGCACACTCACGGCCACTGTATCCTTGACCTGCTGGGCTCAGGAACTATGGTGTGTACCACCATGCCCTACTAATTTTTTGATTTGTTGTAGAGACTGGTCTCATCAAGTTGCCCAGGCGGGTCTCAAAGCCCTGAGCTCAGGCAGTCCTCTTGTCTCAGTCTTCCTAAGTGCTGGGATAACAGGTTTATGCCACTGTGCCCAGCCTGTGGATAATCCTTAAGGTAGAGTTAAGGAGAGTTAGGTGGTTCCAGGAAGACTTCATAGCCAGGTCCCAAAGAAAGAAATGGGGCCCGAAGTCCTGGTTCCAGAAGCATGCCACAATAAAGGCAGGAAATCAAGAACATATTCAGCTTGAGATGTTGCCTGAAGGAGTTTTCAGTTTTCTTATGACTTTATTCACAAGTAACTGTGATCTCTTCTAATGGGCAAGAATATGAGATTGTAGCCTTGTCTGCTATTTCAGATATTCTCAGTGGTGTTGGGAAATGAGGGTGTTGGCTGGTGGGACGGGAGGTGGAGGTAAAATGAAGGGATGTCTAGCAAAATTTATCTTCCCTGACTTTACCTAGGGAACGTGTGAAAGAGTTTTATGTATATTACTATTAAACAGTAGCACAGCCACTTGTTCAACAAACAATGCTTGAGCACCTAGGCACCTGCTCTGGGAGTTATACATGTAACACCCATGAATAGCAAACATACAGTGACTCTATGACTTCTGTACTACCACTTTCTCTTCCCGTATCTACATTAGACATTGATGAAAGATCACAAAACTTTCTTGCTGAGCCTGAACACTGCCTCAGAATCTTGTCAATACAGCAGGCCAGGAAGCTATTAGAATTTAAACACACCTGTTGTGGCTGGCATGGTACATTCATACATTTATTCAATAAACACTATCATCTTCTGCTGGGGCTGTAGATACAAAGAAGAGGCTGAGGAAGACACAGTTCCTGGCCCACAAAGGGGAGCAGCAGAGGAGGTAGGGAATTTTGCACAGTGTGATGCACTGCTATGGAAGTCCACTTAATACATTGGAATGGAGATGGGAATTCTCGGTGTCCTATATTTTTTATAATTTTTCTTCTAATTTTATGAACCATATCTGAATTTGTCCCTTCTAATAACAGTTAAGCTTAGCCATAATCATCTTTTTTTCAGGTTTTAAATTTTTATTCACAATCATCCTTTTCTAACTTCTTTATAAACAAACCTCTATGAATTATTCCCTGATCAAGTCCACACTGATAATTCAAGCAAGTAAACACTGAATGGAGTTTTTGACAATGAGACAACAAGGGCATTAATAACTAGAGCAGGTTACATGCATCTTTTTAATGACTCATTCAACAAAATATTATGGCATGCTTACTATGTGAATAGTATCTAACTAGGGATAATGCAAGGGATCAAAAATGGACAAATCTCTCTGTCCTTCAGGGATTTTCATTCTAATAGGGGAATGCAGGCAATAATTAAGTAAAATTTACTGCTAGAAGGTGAGAAGAAGATAAGAGTTTGTGTGTCTTACCATAGGTATGGTGTGTGTGTGTGTGTGTGTGTTTGTGTGTGTGTGTGTGTGTGAGCATGCACATACGTGCATTCAAGATTCTGAAAGAATACTAAGTGAACTATCACAGAAACAAAGAACTGAATACTGCATACTCACTCATCAGTGGGCATTGAACACTAGTCGCATTAGCACAAGGGAGGGGTTGACAATCGATTGGCACTGCTAGGAGAGGGAAGGGGGAGGGTAAGGGGGCATATGACAACACAATGGGTACCTGATCCACTACCAGGGAGAGTGAGGGCCAGTTAGAGGCCCAAACTTCACCGGCATGCAACTTACTTATATAGTTAACCCTCACTTATACCCCACATCTCTGTAGTAAAGAAAAATTGAAAAATAAAAAGATTCTGAAAGATAACAAAGCAGGTTTTGATGGTGGCTACCATGGAGTATTTGGACCAAGGTTAATGGAACAGAGGACAAAATGGAGGCATTTACTTTAAATATTATACCCTTCTGTGTTGTGTGGTATTATTTTATTTCTAAAATAACCTTATGGTTAGGCAATGTGGCTTACATTTTGAAAAGAAGATAAATAGAAAATACACATTTCATCAGATTCAATTATGATATTGCACAATGTTGGAGATTTCCCTTTGGTTTCCTTGTTTGAAAGCATCAAGCTGTCATTTCCTGATCAGGAATATTGAGAATAAATAAGCCAGAGTTATCTTTCACTAGGAGATTTCTCTTCTGGAATGAAGAATTTATGAAATATTTCAAGAGTTTATCTTTAGTGCTATTCCCTCTCAACAATTATGAGCAAATATAAAAGTTTCTCATACATTTCTTGAAATGTCCAAAAGTATAATCAATTAGTGATTTTTACTCACTGGACAAAATGCAATCATATAAATCATAAATTTGATTCTCACAAATCAGGCAGTAAAAATGTTGAAATGTATAATCAATTAACACAACAGGAAATGCCACAGGGTATAGACTATATATATGATGCATAATAAAACATAATATAATAATTTAATAATTAAAAATCAATTTATTTATAAATATTTATATAAAATGTAAAGTGCCGGTATAAAGATTTAGGCTGACATACCTTTGGTATCACTTTTCTCTAAGTCTTTTAGTGCTTGAACAAATGTCAGCTGACTTTCAGTGAGCGGCCAACTGTTGTACAACACAGAACACTGTATGATATACTTGTAACTCTGTGAAATAAGATACAGTATTTAAACTCTAACAATAAAAAATACATAGTATGTGCCTAATATAATTTATAAGTGCATAATTTATAAGTGCATAATTTTCTTGATCATATAATCCTAATTTAATTAAATAATTCCAGGTGTCTTCTAAAATTCTGTAACACCATAATTTATAAAAGCTTAATAGATTCACATCCCCACCAATACCTGCCACTACCCAAACTTTTTCATTTTTGCCAGTGCAATGTGTATAAAGTGAAATCTCACTGCTGTCATATTTTGCATTTCTCATAATATAAAAGAATTTGGTGAATTTTTTAACAGGTGTTGGCCTTTGTGATTTTTTTTCTTCTTTGTGCTCGGGACACATAAAAAATAGTCTTCCACATAATTTATTATTATTATTATTGGTTAAAATTTTACAATTAAATCTTCAACACACCCTGAATTCACCTTTATTTATAGTATTAGCTAATGGTCCAGTTTCATTTCTCTCCATGGAGAGATAATTTTCCCAGCATTCCCCATTCAACAGTCCACCTTTGGTCCACTGATTTATGGTGCTGCTTCTATATTGAAATTCCATATAAATATGGAGCTGTTCTATTCTACTTTTTTCTCATTGTTCCATTTACCCATTTGTACATTAATCAATACTATTTTTACTCCTATAACTTTTTGTGTTTGTAAATATTAAGGCATATTTTCCTTTTGTCTTTTAAATTTGACTTAGCTATTTAAAATGAATTCTTTCCTATGAATTTTATTCTTTCCTATGAATTTTAGAATAAGCTTAGAACATTTCTGAAAAATACAGTGGGGATTTCTATTGGGATTGCTTTGAATTTAAAGATAGATGGGAATAACTGATGTCTTTTTTTTTTTTTTCTGAGTCGATGTCTCACTCTGTCGCCCAGGCTGGAGGGCAGTGGCATGCTCATGGCCACCGCAGCCTTGACCTGCTGGCCTTAGGTGATCCTTCCACCTCAGCCTTCCAAGTAGCTGGAACCACAGGTACGTGCCACCATGCCCGACTAATTTTTCTGGATTTATTGTACAGATGAGGTCTCATCAAGTTGCCCAGGCTGGTCTCAAATCCGTGGGCTCAGGCAATCCTTGCACCTTGGCCTCCCAAAATGCAGGGATTATAGGCTGAACCGCCACATCCAGCTAACTGATGTCTTTATACTACGCCACCTCATTGAAAATCATGACATTTTTTTCTTTAGTTGGTGGATCACCTTCCATTATCTTTATTAAAGTGCATTCTGTGTAGAGAACTGGTGTATTTTTGGTTAATTCCTAGCATTTTACAATTTTGTTGCTACTACAAAAGGGCAAAACACTTCTGAATTCCTGAGATAAGTGCTATCTGATTACTTAATACTCTGCTAGATTGCCTATCTGTTATATTTTTATAAGCTTTCATTCATGTTTATTAGTAAATTTTATTAAATTTTTGTGTTACCTTTATCTGCGCTTGGAATCAGGATTACATTAATCTTTTTAAAAAGATGGGAAAGTTTGTATTGTTTTTCTATTGTCTAGAACCATTTATGTTTTTGAAAGTCCGTTAGACTTATTCTATAAAGCCAACTAGGCCTATGGTTTTTCGGAAAGGGAGGATTTTGAAGAATTTGAATTCTCATTTAAATGTTATTATTCTTTACTGTTTCATTCAGATATTCTATTTGATTGTTAGTCAGTTTTGCCATTCTTTCTTACTCCCCATCTTCAGGAACTTCTGTGCTTTTTTTCTCCCTAGGTTTAAATTTGCTAGCACAGAGTTATTTGTGATTCTCTTAATTTTTTTCACATTAACCCTATTTTTTTGTTGTTCTGTATTTTACTAATTTATATATTCTTTCTCTCTGTCTCTTTTTTTTGATTGGTCTTATTAGGAGTATGCCTACTATATTAATCTTTAAAAGTAGCTTAGGGTTTAATTAGTCTTTATTTTTTGTTCCACATTTCATTGATTTCCGCTCTTATCTTTATGGAAATCCTTTCTTCTTTTATCTTTGGATTACTTTTTTTGTTCTTTTTCTAACTTTTTATTTCAATAGCTTAGCCCATTTGATTTTAATCAATCATGCTTCCTAATGAATTAATCTAAAAGGAGCATTCCATTAACTACTACTTTAAATATTGTTTACAAATTTTGATTTGTAGTTTTTTATTGTTATTGGATCCTGTGCATTTCATAATTCTCTTTTGATGTTCTTGTTAACTAAAGGGTTATTTTGTATATTTTACTTAGTTTTCACATGTAAAAAATTGAAATACTCTGTTGATTTAAATTTCTATTTTATTGTATTATGTTCAGATAACACAACTATACAATATAGTTTGGATTTTATTGAGGCTTCCACTTATTGCCTATTATAGGGTATTTTTGAAAAACTTGTGTGTGTGCTAAGAAAAAATATATTCTCTGTTTACTAAAGTTTTCTATATAGATATCAATTAAACTTATACCTAGATTTTTCAAATTCTCACAATTATACAAATATACACAATTATACAAATAATATATATATAAAATACATTATATTTATTTTGTTTTTCAGTTTGATCTGTCAGTGTGAGAGACATGAATTAAAATCTTCAGTCATTAATTGTTGAGATATTTTTTCCTCTGTAGTTCTAATAGTTTTTTCTTCTTATTCGTTGTGACTGGATAGTTGGGTACCTATATGGTAGTTATGGCCATATCTACTGGAATTTATTCTTCCTTTTATTTTTATATAATATCCCTTGTGAGGTATATGTATTAAAATATTACAACTATCATCACAACTCTCTCTTGGTTCATATTTGACAGGTATGTTTTCTTATCATTTTTTCCTTAAATTTTCTGTAGCATGTTGTTTAAAAGTGTCACTTTTGGACTACCTATAGTTAGAGCTTATTTTTATATAACTTTAAAATTTTAGTCTTTTAATAGATTAATGAATTTGAATTTATTATAATTTCTGTCATATTAGGATTTATTTCTGGCACTTTATTTTCTTTTTCATTCCCTTCTCTCTCTTTCTCTCTCTCTCTTTTTTTTTTTTCAATGGTTAGGTTATTTTTCCTTCTGCTGTTTTAAAATATATGTATGGCCCTTTTTTCTTTTAATTTTAAGCACATACAAATTCACTTTTCAATATTTTGAGTTGAAGTTTCACTCTGTTGCCCAGGTTGGAGTGCAACGTCAAGCTCATGGCCACTACAGCCTCCACCTCGACCTGCTGGGCTCAGGTGATCCTTCCACTTCAGCTTCCAAGTAGCTGGAACTACAGGTGTGTGCCACCATGCCTGGCTAATTTTTTTTCTTGATTTATTGTAGAGATGAGCTCTTGCCAAGTTGTCCAGCCTGTTCTTGAACTCCTGGGCTCAGGCAACCCTCTTACCTCTGCCTCCCAAAGTGCCAGGATTACAGGTGTGAGTCACTGCACCCAACTTCATTTTTATTAATATGTGACTCTTAATATGCAACCTTTATTAATATGTGACTGTCAAAGTTATATAGCCTCTTGTAAGTCAACTGTAAAATTAGATAATTACACCTACATTATAGAGTAAGTGTAAAGATTAAATTTGCCATGTATTTAAAGATCTTGGCACAGATAGCCTGTTCAAGAATATCTTAGTTTTCAATTCTGGTTATACACTGGTGGCGCTGCACATTATACATTGACAACTTTTAGGAAGAATATTGTTTTATTTTATGTTCTATTATTAGGATCACTCCCATTGAATAATAATATGTAATGTAAACATACCTGCTGAGGCGTGCTAGAACTTCCTTCTGTGCTGGGTGTACTAGTAATCTCCTCCTCCAGAAGAGGCAGACCTATGTCCTGGATGACATTTCCAGGTCTACCCCTACTGAATTTCTGGCTTCCCTGGACATATTTCTTCTTAACATACACTTCCTGCTCTTTCTTGGATGCAGTATGAAATGAAAGAACTTGCTTGCTTGCTGAATAGGAGAGACATTAAACTTAAGATAAAATATATGATATACATAATTACTACTGACTAAATTAGTTAGATTTCATTATAAAACTCTCAAAGGAATAGGTCAGTTCCTTCTGTTTTATTGAGATTTAAAAAACCTGACTTCTTGGAAATATTCTGGTCTTAAGGAAATCTACTATAATAGTTTGTGACCTATATAAAACAATGCATATTCTGAAGGATGAAATATTATTTCAATAAACAGCAAAAACAAAATAGGAGGGGTTTGTATTACAGATTAAGAATGCATAGTACAGCCAAGTTAGTGTAAATAATCTTTCAGTGGTACCCTTTGTCACTAGCCAGGTGCAATTCCTGGATAGAACACTGGACTGGGAAAAGACAGAGACACATTACTGAAGCCTCTTAGGATGACTGGATATCAAGGCATTTGCAGTAACCTGCTTAGCTCACGCTCTCTATTCTTATTCACAGTTATTAGAGAGAGAAAGTCAAGGAATCAGTGTTACTGCTAATGTCTATATTGTTCTGGAATGCCCAGCTATAAAACTAAAAAGAAAAAAAACCCCATATAAACAGTAGATAGAAAACAGGCAAAACTACAGGTGTTTTTAAAAAATAGAAAGACAATTCTTTTTAGCAATTTGCTTGTACACCTAAGATAATCAGCAAAAACTTATTGGGAAAAAGAGCTCAGGAAGAGTGATTAGCACCAAATAGCAAAGAAAAGTCAATGAGAAGATGTGATCAATTAGAAAACTAAAACATAATGATAGGAATCAGAAAAAGTATATAGAACAAAACAAATGGAAATAGACTACACCCTCCCATTTTAAAGACTAGAATCTTGGACTGAGTAGAAAAAAAAATTCATTTATGAGAGAGAGACTGACAGCAAAAACATGTGGAGGATAGAAAACTAAACGAATGAACAGCATAAATAGTAAAATGATAACAAGGAAAAATCAGTAGTAATAACAGAAAACTTATTAATGTTAAAGAATGGCTGTTTTACATTTATTTTTAAACATAATATATCAAGTATAATGCAAATATGAAATTATATGCAACTAGCAACATAGCACAGAAATATGGAAAACCAAAAATATTAGAGTTAGATTCATACATTTTTAAGTGAAAGCAAGAGATTTTAACATATGTCACTAAGAATCTTTAACACCAATAAGATAAATGTAAATGACCATCTTAAAAAATTTAAATGTCATAATTAAGAAGTTTGACTTTTATCATTGTGTATATGTTTGTACACATTCAGATTTCAATCTACCTCTAAAATAGAGTACACATGCCCAGTGTAACACTAATCGAATTCTACTTGAATCAGGCCACAGGAAAAACATCAATCAAATCCTCAAAATAGAAGATATATCTACACTTTTTAACTCCTCAAAATTTAATTAGAAATTAATAACAAAAGGCAATACAAAATAATGTAATTATTTAGAAATCCTAAAAATAAAACAAATGCTTATGGTTAAAGAAAAAAATCAAAATTAAACCCTAGGCCATGGCCAAAACAATATTATGTATAACATTTTATAGTATTCACAGCTATAAGATATAATATATATAACCATACTTGGAAAATGTATAGAATTAAATATATTTAAAAACAAGATTCAAAATATAAACTAAAATTTAACTGGAAAAGGTAGAAAACAAATTGACTACATTTAAAAAGTAGAGAAAATGTTTCAAAGATAAATATAAATATTGATAAAGTAGATTACAAAAATAAAAGAATCACTAGGGTTTGATGAATAAATCCAGCTCAGTCTAAGACCAATAATACAGAGAAAATTCAAAACAGTTTGATCAAGAATAAATTAAAAAAACAGATATTTAACAATATTTAATAATGATCATATAAACATATTGAGAAGAAATGAAAAAATATAAAATAATTCTGTGTAAAAATGTATGCAGATATATTTTAAATACTAGATAAATCTGTCACTTTAAATATAAATTATAAAAGTGAAAAGAAGTTTGAAAAAACCCTTGGAAATTATTAAAAAGGTAGTAAAAAGTCAAAAGTCTATCCTCTGGAAACATCAGATTTAGAAAGTTTTGAAGTCAAATCTAAAAAACTTTAAAAAAATAAATGATTCTTGTAGCATTTAAATTACTTTCAAAAATAGATAAAATAGAAAGTTCCCAAAATTAATTTCAAAAAGTTTTATAATTTTAACTTGAGAACCAGAAAAGAATAACGTACAAGTGCACACAAAGAAAAAACAGAGATATAAAGTTATAAATATGAGGCAATGAACTGAAAAAAATCATATATCCTAAACATAGGAGTATATTAAACATCATAGGCCAATAGGTTTTATTCTAAGAATGCAAAAATGATTCAAAACTAAAAAAATAATTTACAAAATTCAAGAGAGGAAAATATGATTTCTATAAACAACAATAACAAAATATAACTGATAAGGTTTTAAACCCATTCTATGTTAAAAATCAATAGAAAGGACATTCTCAAATTTCATAAAAATATATTATTAGAAGTCAGCAACAAATATAGTACTCAATGATAAATGCTATAAGCCTTCCTATTTAAGAAAAGGAAATATATCATCATCACTTTCATTTAACACTGGTTAGGAGGTACCGGCCAATGCCACAAGAAAAAAGTTATGGTTTTAAGAAGAAATATCAATTGGCAAAAAAAGGTTAGTTCTGTTTTGTTTAAAATGTAAATGCAGGAAATTTCTGGGAAGACAGTGGCATAGGCAATAGGACAGTGTGAGTGCCTGTATGTGTGAGTGATTGTATGGCCATTTCTGCATGTATTTCTGTGTGTAAGTGGGAGTGTGGGAGACTGACTGAAGGGGACTTGAGAGTAAGTGGCCAGGGCTCTCCTGGTGAAGCTGCTGGTGCCACAGCTGCACTGCTTGGACTCTAGTTGCTTTTCAGAGAGCAGAAACTGGGTGTCATTTTCTAAAATTGGCAGAGCTTTTCCCAGGAAGAACTACTGGAGTGATTGCTGAACCCACCACAAACCACCAGGCTGGATGATAGCTCAAGTGCTAGATGCTGGAGGGAGTGCTGAGAGGGAGCCTGAGGCAGAGTCCTGAGGAAACAGTGGGAAGAAGCCTCCCTAAGTCTGGACTGGGCTTCAGAGCCTTGCCACTGGGTCCCAAGATCTGGAGATTGTGGTAACTGTTGGGGAGGGAGCTATTAAATCCATTCAAGGCAGGGACAGCAGCCAACAGAGAAACTGAGCAGACTCTTTAATGCTTGGGCAGAGAAGTGCCCCAGGACAGCCTCTGCAGAATAGCAGAACTGCATCTTAAGACCAGGTGTTGATCTCTAGATTGTGTTGAGGCTGCTCTTTGTGACCTTAAAGAACATTGCCCCCAGTGCACAAGCCCTGGTGGGTAATAGCAGATGCAGAAACTCAGATAATCCAACCTCTGCCCTGAGCCAGCTGTTGGGTGATAGATGCAGACAAAGGAACTAACCAAGGAGTGCTTAGTTGACTCCCCCCCCACCCCTAGCAACAAGCAAAAGAAATCAGGAGGGCAGAGTAGAAACAAGAAGCCCCTATTCTCCCACCATGAACTGGGTGCCCTGGGAGATGTGACCACACTGGGAGAGGAAGGAAGGGAGTGAGATCCCAAGAAATGCTGTGTCAAGTTATTTCAGTCCCCTTCCCTCACACAGGTATGTGCTGGCTACCAATTACAGGCAGCAGCCAGTGAAGATTTTAACATCTTAAGTTTCAACAGCAAAGAGGGAACCTGCAGTAACAGACCTGCAGTTGCAGGACCCTCACAAGAGAGAGCCCTCCTCTTCTCAAAGAGACATACCAAAGCTGAGAACTCTTTATCAATGAGGTTTTATTTACTAGAGGGATATTTGTTTGTTTGATTATCTTATTTGGTTACTTTGTTGGGTTAGGGTTAGGGTTTGTTGGTTGGTTTTCTCTTTTATTCCTCTTTCTATTTCTCTTTCTTTGTTCATTCTCTGTTTTTTCTTTTTCTTTCTTCTTTTTCTCCTTCTTTCCCTTTTTTCTCTTCTTTCCCACTCTTTTCCCTCTTATACTCTATCTTGGACCAGGCGCTATGCAAGCAAATCCAATGTAAGGTCATATTGTGCAGAGACAGAGAGCAATTTCCAGCTAGACTACTTACCAGTTAGCAAACATATGACCTGCCAATAGGTTCTGAATCCTTGCAGCCTCTCCTTCATCCCCTAGTCAGTGCTCAGAATTGTAAATAGACAGCACAACAACCCAGCCCTAGCCCTACTTCATAATTGAACAAACCCAGAGACCTGGCTCAAGGAAGGACAAAAGGTAGAGTAAATATCAGAAGTAACTGCTTCACCATTTTCCACTGAACAACAGAGTTAAAGAGTAAGATTAGTTAACTGCTACAAATTAAGAAAAACCAATGAAAACCCACTGGGAACCATCAGAACCCCATCAAAGAGTCAGTGCTAGAAAGAATAGCTACTGGGACACAAACAATGACTATCTTCAAGAATGACAACTCCCAGAAGGTACTTATGGAGATCAGAGAATCATAGGATAGAATGAATAAAAATCAAGAAATGCAAGGGTTTAAACTAAATGAAATTGCTATGGAGCTAGACAGACTCGAGAAAGTGTACTTTGAAATAACAGAAATAAAGAACTCCATCCAATAAATAAATGACAAACTGACAGGCATAGGAAGCAGAATTGACCAAGCAGAAGAAAGAATCTCAGAGCTGGAAGGTCAAAATATGGAATTAACCTAATCTATTAATGATATAGTTAAAAAAAAACCCTCAAGAAGAGACTCTCTAAGAGATGTGTGATTTTATCAAGAGACCAAAGCTACATCTGATCAGAATAACTGAAATAGGAAGAGAAATGGAAAATACTGGAACAAACATTCCATTAGGTCATTCAAGAAAACTTTCCTTATCTGGTCAGAGAGATGACTATACAAGAACAAGACATTCAGAGAACCCCTGCAAGACACCTTATGAGAGGGCCAACTCCAAGACACATAGTAATTCACCCAAACAAAGTAGATATAAAAGAAAAAGTCCTAAAGGCAGCAAGGGAAAAAGTTCAGACTACCTACTGGGGGAGACCAATCAGAAATGCTGCAAACTTATCTGAAAAACACTACAGGCCAGAAGGAATTGGACCCAATCTTTAATCTTAAAGACAAACAACTTCAATCAAGTATCTCCTACCCAGCCAAGCTAAGCTTCATCAGTGATGGAGAATTAAAATCCTTCCCAGACTTCCAAACCCTAAGAAAATATGCTGCTTCCAGACCAGTTGTACAGCAGATACTTAAAAAGTTCTGTGGACAGAAGAAAAAAAAAAAAGAAAGATAATATACTTCACAAGTTTCCAAACAAACATAGAAGCAGTGGAACAAATAGCATACCCACAAAGTTGAAAACACACATATATGAATGCAAAAGGTAAACAAAAACAAAAACAAAACAGCCTTACAAGAGCATTATGAAAGAGACCAACTCTCACATTTCAATAATCAGCCAGAATGTGAATGGACTAAATGTACCGCTGAAAAAACATAGAATGGCAAACTAGATAAAAATACACTACCCAGTAATTTGCTGCCTCCAGGAAACTAATCTTGCCACAAAGGACACTCACAGACTCAAAGTTAAAGGATGGAAAACCACCTTTCAGGAGACTGGATCATAAAAGAAGGCAGGAGTTGCAATCTTAATATCAGACAAAACAACCTTTAAACTATCAAAAATTTAAAAAGATACAGAAGTACACTACATAATGATAAAGGGTTTGATCTATCAACAAGAAATATCCATCCTAAACATATATGCTTCCAACACAGGTGCACCAGCTTTTATGAAGCAACTACTAAGTAAACTAAAAAAAGATATTGACTCTAACACTATCATAGCTGGGGACTTAAATACCCCACTAACAACCATAGACAGATCTTTGAGGCAAAAAATCAACAAGGAGATCTGGAAACTCAACTTGACACTTGACCAAATGAACTTAATAGATACCTACAGAACACTCTACCCAATAACCACAGAATATGCATTCTATTCATCACCACATGGATTGTACTCTAAGATCAACCACATCCTCAGTCATAAATCAAGTATAATCAAATTTTACAAAATTGAAATACTGCCATGGGCCTTCTTAGACCACAGAGGAATAAAAATAAATATCACCACCAACAAGATTCCCCCCAAACCCACAAAGACATGAACACTAAACAGCATGTTGCTGAATGACTACTGGGCCAATGCAGAAATTTAAAAATTCCTGGAAATAAATGAAAACAAAAAGACATCAAAATCTCTGGGATGAAAGGAGTACTAAGAGGGGAATTTATATCTCTACAAACATACATCAAAAAAATAGAAAGAGAAAAAGTTTACAACCTAACAAATCACCTAAGGGAGCTGGAAAGGCAAGATCACCAAAACCCTACCTTCAGCAAAAGAATACAGATCACCAAACTAAAAGTCCAAATATGAGATACTGAAGACAAAAAATATCGTGCAAAAATCAATGAAGCAAAAAGCTGGTTCTTTGAAAGGATAAATAAGATTAATGGACTGCTAGTCAGAATGACCAAGAAAAAGAGAGAAAATACAAAAGATTAAGTCACTCACCACAAAGAAATACAAAAAATTATCAGAGATTACGATGCACATCTGCATGGAAACAAACTTGATGACCTAAATGAAATGGAGGACTTTCTGACCTCCCAGGGTCAAAATAAGAAGAAATTGAGATCCCAAATAGACCAATAATAACCCAGGAGATTGATTCTGTCCTAAGAAAACTACTTACAAAAAAAAGCCCTGGACCAGATGGATTTCCAGTGGAATTCTACAAAACATATAAGGAAGAACTGATACTAATCTTATTGAAAGTATTTTAGGCAATTGAGAAAAACAGAACTCTCTCCAAATCATTTTATGAAGCTAACATCATACTGATACCCAAACCAGGTAAAGATCCAATAAAGAAAGGTATCCCCGATAAACATAGATGCAAAAATTCTCAAAAAGATTCTAGCAAATCGGATCCAACAACACATCACAAAAATCATCCATCATGACCAAGTAGGCTTCATCCCTGGAATGTAGGGCTGGTTCAACATAATGTAATTAAATATATCAACAGATGTAAAAACAAGAGCTGCATGATTATAATGGAACAGGGTAGAGATCCCAGAAGCAAAACCTCAGTTTCTCAACTAACTCATCTTTGACAAAACTTCCACTAACAACCAATGGGGAGAAGAGAACCTATTCAGTAGATGGTGCTGGGAAAACTGGCTGACCACATGCAGAAGAATGAAACAGGACCCTGGCCTATCACCATACACAAAAATCAACTCCAAATGGATCAAAGACCTAGACATGAAACCTCATACTTTAATAATCTTAGAAAACACAGGAGATACCCTTATGGAAATCAGAATAGATAACTGATTCCTGATCAAAATCCCCAAAAGCCCATGTCATAAGAGATAAGATAGATAAGTGGGACCTCATCAAACTGAAAAGCTTCTGCAAAGCAAAAGAAACCATCAAGAGAGCAGGAGACAGCTCACAGAATGGGAAAAAATATTTGCTAACTGCATATCTGACAAAGGCCTAACATCCAGGATCTACAAGGAACTCAAACATACTGACAGGAAAAAAACCAAATAGCTCCATTAAAAAGTGGGCAAAAGATGTGAATAGATACTTCTCAAAAGAAGACATATGAGCAGCCAACAGACACATGCAAAAATGCTCAACTTCACTAATCATCAGAGAAATGCAAATAAAAACTATATTGAGATACCACCTAACTATAGTAAGACTGGCCATCGTTAATAAAAAATTAAACAACAACAACAAAAAAACTGATGCTGGTAAGGATGCATAGAAAAGGGAATGCTTCTACACTGTTGGTGGGGATGCAAACTAGTTCAATATCTATGTGGTGATTCCTAAAAAAACTAGAAATTGACCTTCCATTCGACCCAGCAATCCCCTTATGGGAATATACTGGAGGAACTTAAATCACTCTATTAAAAAGATACCTGCACATGCATGTTTATTGCAGCACTATTCACATTAGCAAAAACATAGAACTAACTGTGCTGCCCATCAAAACTGGACTGGATAAAAAAATGTAGAACATATACACAGTAGAATATTACACAGCCATAAAGAAGGACAAAAATTAGACACTTTGCAGCAACTTGGGTTAGGGCCTATAATACTCAGGGATTTGTCACAGAAACAAAGAACTGAGTATCACATGTTCTTGCTCATAAGCAGACCCTGAACACTTACCATAATACTATAAGAAAGGGATTGGCAGTAGCCAGAAACTGCCAGCGGTGAAAGGTGACACATAACATCAATAAGGGAACCTGATCTCAGACCAATGTGGGGACCAAAGGGAGGCCCAAACTTTACCTGTATGATGATCACTTGTATACCTAATCCTGAACTGTACCCCACAACTTTAAAATAAAAAAAAGTAAATGTGCAAATAAAGATTAGAGGAATAAAAGATGAAATATTAATTATAATTTTGGGTTTAACACTGAAATATTGATGATATTTTTGGTATCAGCAGTATTTTTTTCTGGGTAGCATGGTTACAACGTTTTTGTTTGTTTACTTATAATTTTTAATTTCCCAAATTTTCTCCATCAGTCATGAGTTATTTTTGTAGTCAGGACCAACTTACTAAAATAACTGAATAAATAATACACATTGCAGAATCATTATAAACATTATACTTTATTTTATTTATTTAAGAACTCATTAAGAACATTATAGTGAAAGTAATGAATTTAAATTTCTGTTAATTTTAATAAATAATAAACTATGAATAATGGAAAAGTCAAAGAAGTTTTTCAAAACAATAAATATTCTATTTCTTTTTAAGGAAGCTTATATAATAAGAAAGTAAATTTTTCTCCAAGGTGAAAAGTCTTTAAAGTACACTTATAATAAATCTATTGATTTTCAGAGTCTAATTTTACATGCAAATGCAATGTAAGTCTTTAACATTTTATTATAATATCAAATTTTACATATTGTAGTGGCCACTTGCATTTTATCTGTAAAGATTTTTAAAAGTATCACCAAGATACCAATATCTATTTCTAAATGCAAATACCCAGTTCAAAAAGACACACTTACACTGGGAGCTCAAAGCTTTTTCACTCCTCAAGAAACTAACTGCTGGTATGATAGCCTGACCTTTTCCAGTGGTGCTTGCCATAGTTTCTTCATTTTCTAGGACCTGCAGCTTGATAAATACATCTGGTTTGGACGTACGTACCTGTATTGTAACAGGTTGTGAAATTGCAACTTTCACTGAATACCTGTAAAGAAAAAATTTTTAAATTTATACTAGTCTTTCCCTCAGGTTGGTAAAGTAAATGGTATAATTTTCTGATATGATAACCTAAAACTAAAACTACTTTGTAAAGTCTGCTAACATCCTGGCAATATTCAAGTTATCATAGACATTGGTAAAGGATCCCAGTGTGGTATGGTATAACAAAAGAAGTATGGGACATTTACATCATTTAATCCCATGTTTAAAATGCAACTTTTTGTTAAGATATGACAAGCATTCACTTGTAAAACTTGATAGACCTAAGAGTCATCATGCCCTTAAATAGATCTGAAAACTGATTCCATTTCAACTTTTTTCATTACATAAAGAGCACAACTGGAAGAGGCAGTACCCTTCAAAGCATCATTGATAAAAGTGTTTTCTTTGACTTAAAGTAGAATCCATGGCCTCTATCCTCACCCTTTACTAATAGGTTGGAAACCTCTTGCAAAAAAGACTGAAAACATGAAGTCTAACCCCTACTTTCCAACTCCCCTCTTCATGCAATCGAAGAATTGGTTTTTTGTTTGTTTTCCTATTTTAGGTGATCACTCGCAAATGCTCGAATTCTACCAACTTTCAATTTCTCTAGAAGTTTGCTTTTCTGAATATCCTTTCTCTCCTGTATCTTAAATCTCCCACATTTCATTCCTCCTTGCCATTGACTTGTATATTTGTATGGTTCTCTACTATATTTAAAATAGATTAAAACAAAACAAAACAAAAACCAACACAATCTTTAGCTTATTTTACAATCTATACTCTGCTGCATTTCAGTTTTTCCAGCTTACCATCTAAGGTAACAACTCTACTTCTAGTCTTATCTCATCACCTCCCACTCACTGATTCTGTCACTAACTCAGGTGCTAAACTTGCTCTTGCAGGGATTTCAAGTAGTTTGTCACTATCAACAGAAACTTCAGTTCTCATTTTCCTTGACCTCTCAGAGATTTTGACAGGGTTGGACCAACCCTTATTTCCACCTCTTTTAAAAACGGCCCCCAAGCTCATGGCAACCTTTATATTTTCACTCCTATTTGGGGGCTGCTTTTTTCAGGTTTTTCTCCCACTGACATTCTCATAAATGGCAGGTTTTTCTCCCACTGACATTCTCATAAATGGCCTGATTCTCATCCTGCAAAGTTTCCTTGGCACTTCCATAAACAGAAACAGAATAATGACTCTCAAATCAATGTCTCCAGCTAAACTACTTATGCTGTGTCAATTGACTGTATTGCTGAACGACCATATTTTAAAACATTTCTAAAAAGAAAGAATTGTCTTCCTATTGACTACCCTGCAAGTGGGTTCTCTTCTTGTGTTTTCTATCTAAGTAATTATATCATTCAAATATCTCCCCAAGTCAAACTCTAGGAGTTCCAGTCAACCAAGGATGTCAATTTTATCTCATATCTTAAAATTACTTTTCTTCTCTCCAGTTTCAATGTCACTGCCTGTTGTGTGTTGAATTGTGTCCCTTTTCTTAATAAAATATCTGTTGTGGTACTAACCCCTAGTGCCTCACACTGTCACCAATTTAGAGATACAGTCTTTCAGAGGTAATCGAGTTAAAATGAAGTTGTTGGGATGGGCTCGAATCTAGTAAGTTTGATGTCCTTATAAAAGGGGGAAATTTGGAAACAGGCACACAGGGGAAAACAACATGTGCAGATAGAGGCAGGGATGACGGGGTGATGCGTCTGCAAGTCAAAGATCATCAGAGATTACCGGCAAACCAAAAGAAGCTAGGTGAAAGTCGGAGAAGATGTCCTCCCCCACAACCCTGCTGACACCTTGATCTCAGACTTGTAGGTTCTAGAACTTTATGACGACACATTTCCGTTGATGTGTAGAACTTTGTTATGGCAGTCTTCGTAGACCCATATGCTGCTGTACTTTCGGCTGCTATTATCTGACACCTGGGTTATTTCAAAGCTTCTACCTAGTTTTCCTCTTTCTGTCATTCTCCCTCTTCCATCCATTTAACATTCTGCGGCCTCCTACATGTTGTTTTTTTTTTTAATATGCCATCTCTTTTATAATAAAATATAATTTTACAATAATATATTCTAACATTTTTACTGTTAGGACCCATATCTAAAGTATTTTTAAAATTAATGCTTTGCAAACAATTTTTAAAAACACAGATATGATGCCATTTTTTCTTAAAATCATTTAAAGCATCCCATTGTCCCTAAGGTAAAAATGGCATTTCTTGTTTTATAAGTCCTTCTGCAAAGGACTCTGCTGACCTCTCTGACCTTACAGCTTGCCATGGCATCTTGGAACCCAACTTTGCAAACAAGATGAATGCCTTTAGTTCCCAGAAAAGTTATGTACCCTTTAATTTCTGAACTTTCACATATGCCACTCAGTTTCCTCTTCACCTTCCTCACCACTCAGCTTGGCAGCGTTGAGAGCAGGTTCTGGGATTAATTTAACCTAAATGTCAACTCTTAGTATACTAATGATCTTGCTATGTGTATCATAGTTTCTTATCAGAGCAGTTAAAATATTTTATCACAATTGCTATTTTTAGCCATTGGTATATTTCCTTTCTTCTTAGTAACACACATATTTTCCAAATTTTTTGTGCAAAACAACATATATTAAAAACAGAAGGCAGCCCCTTTGGGTCCCTTCCCACTGTGGGAGTTTTTCTGTCCTCTCAATAAATCCTGCTTTTTTTTAAAAAGAGAAAATATGTATTCCAACAACTCATTAAATGACAACAAGTATTTAATGAAGGCCAATTATGTCTCAGACACTGTACTAGTCCTATATTGAAAAGACATAGTTCTGGCATTCAATAAATGTTCATTCTCAGAAAAGCTGATATGAAATTACATGAAAGCTGGAATTTTATATGTCAAATTCTCAGAACAAAGGAACACAAAAACATGGTCATGACAAATTAATGGTATTTGGAGGTTTGAGCACAAATAATTTTGCTGCTGAAAATTATCATTAAAAGTGATTTTTTTTTTCTAAGTGGAGAAATGAAGACAGGACACAAGACAAAAGAAAAAAGCACAAACAAAAAAAATTGAAGGGCATATATGTTAGGAGCTGGTCATTAGTTCTATCAAGAGAGTGTACTGTGTTTGGTGGCTGGGCACCAATGTTGAATATTATGCTACGTAGTTTAGTTTTATTCTGTAGTCAATGAAAAGTTGTCAAAGGTTTTAAAGCAGGGAAATCACATGTGTTTGAAAGGTAACTACTCTGGGAGAAGAGGATGAGTATGTAAATGAGTAAGGAGAGAGAAAGAGAAAAATAATAGTATGTAAAAAAGGGAATATAATGGAATCACAGATTCCAGAAACAACAGTTCTATAGATCAGATATTATAAGAACAGGAAGAGGTGCAGGGGCATTGAGAATAGAGAGGCAAGGCTTGGCAGAATTGTAATCAACAGGACTGATTAATGACAGAGAGTGGAGTTCACAATGAGACTATTCAAAGAGAGCACTGTACACAGATGAGCATGAAAGAATGTGTAATCAGTGTCAAGTAGGATGAAAAATAAGAAAATGTCACTACCATTATATACAACCATACCAGTGTAATCCTATATAACACCCATATAATCACATTACTCAAAATTGTCTCCGAAAAGGTCTAAAAATTGAATTTAAAACCCAATTCAAAATTTTACTACTTAATTTATTTTTATTCTAAAATATTAGTCCTTTTTAAAGAATGCATTTCCCTTTCTGTTATACACTTATACCTGAATAAAATTTTCTTATCATTGGGTATGTAGTAATCTTTGATTTCCTTTATTATAAAATTATTTGATGGAGAGTCTCGAGAGAGGCACGGAAGTGGAGTATAAGAACCAATGAGGCGTAGTTTCCATCGTGAGGCTGACACATATGTGTCACCAGTAAATGCTTCCGCTACAAATGTGTATCCTTTCTGTTAAAAAAAGAGTAATTAATTACACAAAAATAAGTTTCATTGTCACTAGTCTCTCAAATGTACAAAATATGATGTTATAGTACTACATGCTTTATTATCTAGATGTACATATAAATCCCAAGTCTCTTAATAAACATGGAATCATAATTATGGTTTGAAATCCCTCCTAGAAAGCATCATCTTATGTGTTGTAAGGAAATGACTAACTCTAACATTTTTCCTTCTGTGGTTCTTTAACTATAAAGTGTTTAACTATAATAGATAATTACTATGTTTTCTACTAACTTTTGTAAGGCCTCCTAAAGCAAATTTTTATCATTGCATCATCCTGGAGTAGCGCAATAGCTTCTTATTTGATTTTCCTTTCTCATATTCAGCTTTCTAAAATATAGAAGTGAAGAAAGCATCAGAGTTTATTGAAATGTATTTCACTTGAGATGACAGGTAAAGCTATGGAGTTAACAGCTGGATTAATTCCATGGAACCCAGATGTATGATTGGAGATGAGCTCATTAGGTTGGAGAAAATAGGCAGCTAAAGAACCTTGGAGGGTGCCTACTTTATGGTGGATAATAGCTTGGTTCAACACAATTAGATTTCTGACCAAGATGCCAGCGAATCAAAAGTATGATATAATGAGATGTTCAAATATTATGAGTTTATGACTCCAGTTGCTCCTAATACAGAATAAAAAGATAGATTTTCTTTCAGTTATTGCAGAGGAAAGCTCTCCGACATGTTTAGATTCCCGGAAACAAAATAATGATACACATAAATCAGAATGAATACTAAATATTTCAATGTATATCTAAGAATATTAACCAATATTCCAACACTCATAATAAGATAAGAATTCCAACACCAATAGAAACCTTTTGACACTATGTTTGGGACAAGTAAAAAAGGGAGAGAAACTATTTCTGCTAAAGCATTTTTACTTGCCAAGTGTCATGCACAGATTCATTGCTATTTTTTATTATTATTTGAGCTTTTATTTTATGGTACTAATAAATTGAAGAAGCAAAACAAAATTACTTGACTCTTATTTCATGTCTGTCCAGAATCAGATAATCATTTTAAGAGAAGAAGAGGATGTAAAATGATAGGATAGATTGATAAGTAAAAATCTAAACCTGGCTATTCTAAATAGAATCAAGACTCTTAGGTAAAAGAGTTACAAAATGGCATACCAAGTACTGAGAGATCTCATAAATAAGTATTCTGAATTACAGAGTAGGTCTTTGAGAAATTTGACAAAAAACGGAGCCAAAAATTATGATTTTCCAAATCCTTAGTAAGGTTCCATAGCAGATCATAAAAAGGATGACCCGTGAGCTCCCAAATGAACAAAACAGATTCCTAAAAGTCAACCTGAGTTTATTAGGAACAAAAGCTACATTTCTTTTTTGATAAGATTAAAAGTCACAAAACCTGATAAATGTTGCAGACATGGTGTTTATGGGTTGTGGGAAAGCATATGTCAAGGCCTCTGGTGAATTTTATATGGATCAGGATGCCTGTTGATGAACCTGCCAGACTGAGTTAGCCACAAAATTCCTACCTAAGGTTACCAGCTACATAACTTTCAGTAGAGTTTTAGACATTATCTGTCCAGCCTAAGATACTCAGTTATCTCTTGAGATCATCATGTCAACATGCCTTGCAATCATAGGGTACAAAATAATGGTGTAATAATCTTCTTTAATTTAGGTAGGTCAGAATTTCCTTCAGAGGCAGCATTCACTTCTGAAAACCACATTTTAGCAGGGATATAGATAATGTGGAGGAATGTTCAAAGATCAACAATCAAGAAGAGAAGGAAACTACCACAGAAAGGATCACTGAAGTTATTCGTCTATTCGCACAGCTTTACATTCTTCTCCCCAATCTTTCAAAAAATTTTTGTTTCTAAACAGAGCTAGCTAGAGTGACAGAGTAGAAGAGATTACATATGAGAGAAGAAATGAGTGTGTTTGATGCAATCTGAATTTAAATTTTAAAATAATAAGTGGAGATAGAATGTTTTTCGGCATATTGGCTCAAAATCTATCATTTAGAACTGTCCCCAAAATTCAGACTTAGTATAGAGAGGTAGTTTAGTCACTGAAGTTACTAAAACAAAAACAAAACAAAACACAACCAAAGAAAATATACTACATGTAAATAACAATCAGATTATAAATTATTACAATCTGCCAAAATTAAGTATCCATGACTAATATCAATAGACTTATCTAGTGAAGTAGAGCCCATTTCTAGAATTTGATGACATCTGTGACCTTGATAGTCTCCCTTTAAGTTAAATCATCTTTTTTCCTCTTAATCGTTTGGACTTCTGATTTCTAATCACAAGTTAGATAAATTGTTTCAATTACAAAAAAATTTAGGTCAAACTTAGAAAAATTAATATTTAAAAAATTACTACTGATGTGAATACAAATTTGTTAGTGAAGAACTAGGTCTCCATATGGTGTTTGGTTTAACACAAAGTATTCTGCTGCAAAAAGTTAAGGTTTAAGTCACAATATTTCACTTTTTAATAAACTGCTGTCAGAACATAGGGGGAGAATACACATAGTGCAAAAGGAAATTGCATGAGTCAAAGTTTTTAAATACATTTTTGATATATAGAAATTGATTTTTATTAGCAAATTGTTCTGTTTTTAAGTACACTTTCAAAATAAATTAAGAAAAGTAATATAAATATAATAATATAATTAAATAGAAATAAAAGTAACATTGATGCATTGACTTTAATCAAGTACATTAAAAATTGTTTAAGTGTATAATTTCAAACAGTGTGAAATACTACAAATACAAAAATAATGATGTTTATAAAATCTCATAAAATATAAATGTGAGACTAGCTAAATTTAATACGAATAAAAATAATTTAGGCCCAAGTTACAACTTGAAAATATCTTCTAATTTAGTAAAATATGATTACAATATCAAAGAAATTATCTCATGAAAAATAATAGAAATAAATTCCAAGGGTTTAATAAAACATATAAAAGTTTTTAAAATTATAATAAGGCATCAGCAAAAACTCAGTAAAATTTTTTAAAAATACTAATATATATGCATATACATTTACATATACACATATATATACACACATCTATTGGATTAAATTATTTCATCAAGAATTCAGTCGGGCTCAGTGGCTCAGCCTGTAATCCCGTGCTTTGGGAGGCCGAGGTGAGTGGATTGCCTGAACCCATGGGTTCGAGACCCACTTAGGCAACTTGGCGAGACCTCATCTCCACAATAAAATCAAAAAATTAGCCGGGCGTGGTAGCGCATGCTTGCAGTTCCAGCTACTTGGAAGGCTGAGGTGGAAGGATCGCCGGAGCCCAGCAGGTTGAGGCTGTGGTGGCCAGGCGGCCACTGCACTCCAGTCTGGGCAACAGAGTAAGACTCCAACTCAAAAAAAAAAAAAAAAAACAAAAAAAAGAATTCAAATGCCCTGATTTTTAAAAAAAGTTTTCTAAAATCTCTAAAACAGCTCAAAAGAGTTATTGGTTTTTTTTATGGAGTTAATACACTTTTAGTGTGTCCTTCATTACCACAAAACCAATATTCATTAGATAAGTATGTATGAATTCACACTCAAAAAAGTCTAGATTCAAGTCTAAAATGAACCTCAGAAGTTAAGTATGGTCACTACCCAAAGAAAAAAATGAAGAGGTTCAAAGCCATATAGCTAAAGAATGGAAGATCAAACTACAGCAGCTCCCTTGTTTCCAGCCAGGTATACACTATCTTTGGTCATTTTTCTCTCTTAGAAGAAATGACCGAAACACAAAGATGGGAATTCAGTAAGTAGAGAGGCAACATGTTTTGAGGGAAGGTCAAATATTAGGGTCTGTCATTTAACAGGAGTAACATGCCAAGTGCTCTGGTCACTGAAGGAATTTATGTGGCTCTAGGAGAGACTATGTAGGTGGGGGCGGGAGTGGTGTCTGTGTAACCTACACCTCCTGAAATAATACAGAAGTAGAATAAAAATTGAGTCAGAAACAGAGATAGCCATCTGATTTAGTTTAGGGATAAGACTAAATGAGCTCTTTAGATCCATTTCTGTTTTAAGGATTTATATCATTTTATGATTTCAATAATTAGAATCTCTAATGCTTTCTTTTTGTCATATTTTCTTTGGGGAGTAGAGAAAAGAGAGCAGAGAGATAAAGAATGTTCTAGCACTCACAAAGTTTCTCCTGTTGCTCTGTAAAGTCCAGGGCCCTACTCCTCTGTTAAGTAGACTGAAAACACCTCTGCCCTATCTCCCCCTGGGCCTTCTTCAGGCTGACGGATTTTCACTGCCATATGTGGAGAAGAAATGTTATACCTACCTTATTCTTGGTATAAAGATATGGCACCACTTTTTGGAACACTTTGGGCACTTGTTCCATTGTGTCATTATTAACAACATGAAGAATACAGACTGGAAGTGTACTGTAGATTTTAGGGAACAAAATTATATCTTGAGGAACCAAAAATGTTTCTCTGTAATTACAAAAGCATGAAATTTCCCTTAACAGAAATCTTAAAGAAAGTTTGAAATTAGGTCTAAAGGTAAGAAATTATAAAATGTCTAAAGTTCCAAATACAAGCTACAAATATTATTTCCTTTTAAGAATTACTATTAATATGCTACTTTGCTGTGTAAATGCAAGCTCCATTAAGAAATCTCACTTTAGCCGGGCTCGGTGGCTCAGCCTGTAATCCCGCGCTTTGGGAGGCTGAGGTGAGTGGATTGCCTGAGTCTGCGGGTTCGAGATCCTCCTGGGCAACTTGGCAAGACCTCATCTCTACAATAAATCAAAAAATTAGCTGGGCGTGGTAGTGCGCGCCTGTGGTTCCAGCTACTTGGAAGGCTGAGGCACAAGGATCGCGGGAGCCCAGCAGGTCAAGGCTGCAGTGGCCGGGAGCAGCCACTACACTCCAGTCTGGGCTACGAAGTGAGACTCCAACTCAAAAAAAAAAAAAATCTCACTTTATAAGTAATTTGGGACTTTTTACTGAATATGCTATTGCTTAGAAATTAAAGAATCTCTTTCTATCCTGAAAGCATATTAATTTGCTATATTATTTTTTCCATGCATATTAAAAACTTCTAATAATTAATTCATAGTGTTTATATTTTGATGAAAGGAACATCGATAAAGATTTCTATAATAGCTTATTCAAGAATAGCAAGTGTGGAAGAATCTTAAGTGATGAAAGCACCATAGATACTAATACTTTTACTACTATTTTAAATAAAACTTTACAGATATGAATATTGCATGTCATTTAAAGATATTATTTGCCAGTATATGATAACCTCACCTGAATACTATAAACCAAGAATTTGGTGGCTGATCTTGATAGTTGACAGTATAGTCAGCAAAGGCAATCTTTGTTTCTTCATCTTGGTAGCATGGATAAGATTCCATAGACTTGCACTTGCTTTTAAACATTAGTCTAGAAATGTAAAAAATAAAGTATTGGCAAAAAGCCACCTTTAAAATAAACTTTACTTACAAAAATAAATGGACAAAAATAGTATAAGACATTACAAGATACTGTTTGCTGATGGAGTTCTTGACTAAAGAGACGTTTTGTGAACCATGATACATGGTTCCAAGGTAGGGAATTCATTCGAGGCCAACCATAAAAGATATCTCTCAAAGATGCCCAAAGTTAACAGAAGCTGTTAGCCAAAGGAGAAAATGTAATTCATGATCTAGTAAGAAATAGGCGGGAGGATGCTTGGGCCCGGGAGTTCAATACCAGCCTGGGCAACATGGTGAGACCTCATGTCTACAAAATTTTTTTTTAAATGGCTGCTGTGGTCCCAGCTACTTGGGAGGCTGAGGTGTGGTGTTCTCTTGAGCCCAGGAATTGGAGGCTACAGTGAGCCGTGATTGTGCCACTGCATTCCAGCATGAGCAATAGACTGAGACCCTGACTCAAAAATTAAAAATAAATAAATAAATAGGGATTGTGTTCTCTATGTGTATTCAAACATTTAGAATTCTATGCAAAAAGTTTTCTCCTTTTAGAAAACAGTTAGGGATTCTGGAGCAAAAATTAATCAAGCTGGAGTGATCAAGCAATAACAGTATCTGTGGGCCAAGATTAGGGTGAATAAAGTGAGGCATTCACTTCTGGGCAAGTGTAGAATTGGACTCTGTCTTTAGTTAAAATTCTGAAATTTGCTTCACCAAATGGATTTTTTTCATTAATTTTAGGTTACTTTAAATTTTTATATTTTTATATGTAATTTTCTATTAGTCTCTTGATTATAAATAGAAATTCAATTGTTATTTTATATTGGCCTTTATATGTGGCAACCCTTAATTCTCTTATTAATTCCTATCATTTTATGTAGAGTTTTTTAGTATTTTCCACATACTATGCATAATCATATCATTTGTTAACAGTGGAAGTCTTATTTCTTCCTTTCAAGTCTTAATGACTTTTATTTTGTTTTATTACCTTTTTCTTTTCTTGAAATTTCAGGATTTTAAGTAAAAGTGGTTGGGCAGAATTTTCTTTCTTTTTTTTTTTTTTTTGTTTGAGTTGGGGTCTCACTCCATTGCCCAGACTGGAGTGTAGTGGCACGCTTCCCGGCCACCGCAGCCTCGACCTGCTGGGCTCTGGCGATCCTTCCACCTCAGCCTTCCAAGTAGCTGGAACTACAGGCGCACTACCACATCCGGTTAATTTTTTGATTTGTTGTAGAGATGAGGTCTCACCAAGTTGCCCAGGCGAGTCTCGAACCCGCGGGCTCAGGCAATCCACTCACCTCAGCCTCCCAAAGCACGGGATTACAGGCTGAGCCACTGAGCCCGGCACCAGGCAGCATTTTCTAATCTAAACTTTATCTAATTTTCAAACTCAGGGAAAATTTTTCAAAAATGTCACCACTAGTTCTGCAGTTTGTTGTTGTTTTTAATACTAAATCACTTAATATATTAAGGAAAGTCTTCTCTAATCCTAATTTGCGAAATGCTTTTTGTTTATTTGCAATTATTTTAAAGTATATCAAATGCTTTTTCTGTACCTCTTCATATGACAATCTTTTGACTTTTTTACTATTAATATGCTAAATTAAAATGAGGAATTTTCTAACGTACAACAATTGCATGACTGGGTGTCGGGAGATCTGCTTAATTATGAGGTATTATCCTTTTTATATGATTCCAATCTTGATTTCTTAATAGTTTATTACATAATTTTGAATCTACGTACAAGAAGGTGATTTGTTTGCAAATTCACTTGTACTATCCATGTCCAGTTTTTGTGTCAAAGCTGAGTTAGAAAATATTTCTTTTTCTATTTTCTGAAAGATACATAATCTTATTTCTTCCTAAACTTACGAGTTAAACCATACTGCATAATGCTATGGAATACATCAGGTATCATTATCCTATTAGTCTTAACTAAATTATTACTTTAACAGTAGTCATTTGATTATTATTTTTATCATTAATATCACTAGAACCTTAGAACTTTTTAAAACCTTTTTCCAATATTATTTTCCACTGGTATTTTGCATTACTACTGTCCTGAATTCACTCCTACCTATAGTTATTAGTCGGACTGTCCTTCAAATAAAATGTCTTATTTCTCTTGCTGCTTTTAAGGTTTTTCTTTTGGTCTGTTATTTTTAGCAGTTCGACTATGATGGGTGTAGGTGTGGCTTTCTGCATGGAGGCTAAAGAGTTTCTTAAAGATATAAATTGATGTACTTTACCAGTTTTGAAATGTCCTCAGTGATTATCTTTGTTCTGGGATTCTAATTACATATACAGTACACAGACTTTCTGGGAATCTTCCACATACTCCTTATGCTATTTTTACTCATTTCCTCTTAGCTTCAGTTGTGATTTTTTTTATTAGCATGTCTCCTAGTTCACTAATACCTTCTTCTACCATGACTAGTTGTTAAACCCATTAATGAATTCTTTTAAAAAACTATTCATTTATTTATTCATTTTTATTTGAAAGATGTGGAGTACAATTCAAGATTAGGTATACAAGTGGTCATCATACAGGTAAAGTTTGGGCCTCCCTTTGGTCCCCACTTCACCTGGTTTGAGATAAGTACGCTTATTGGTGTTATGTGATCACCCTCTCCCTCCCCTGGCAGTATCCCACTACTGCCAATCTCTTTCTTATAGTCATTAATGAGTTCTTAATTTCAATTATTAAAATATTCATTTGTCATTTCCATTTGATTGTCTTTTATTCATTAAATTCTCAAACTTTTAATCTATTTTCTCCTTCTTTATTTTCTTGGATATTTTTATAATAGTTACCATTAAAGGTTTTTTCCTGCCACCTCCAACATCTGGATAACCAGATAGTCTGCTTCTTTCAGTATATATTTTCGATAATATACATGTAATTTTCTCTTAGTTCTGTTCAGATTTTCCAGTCTGTTGGACATGAGTTATTACTACAATGCAGTTTTTCTAAAGCTCAATCTACTTCTGATTTGCCCCTATTTAAAGAATGTTGTCCTTCAAGGATTTCAACTACAACCACTTTACTTGTTTACTGACATCTGGTCTCCTACAAGGTCGTAAACTCAAATTTTTGTCTTCTCAGCACCATAAGATTTTAGGAACTTTGTTCTGTTTCTTAGAGGAATTCCACTTGGAATTTTAGACATGTGCAACTAAGATAACATCAAAAAGTAGCAATTACCATAGAAATGTTTCAGATAAAATATATGGCAGCTCAGAAGCAAGGGTGTGTTTTTAGTCGCAATGACTGGGGAAAATTCAATACATATGGTAATATTTAAACTGGACTTTGAAGGACACTGATATACCGCAATAAGAAATATCATTTTTTTGCTTTACCTTAAGAGAGAAAGTGCATATTGTTCTAAATTCAGTTCCAGTATCGCCCAAACTTTTTGAAGAGTATCTGCAACACTGATATTTTCCTTTGTGTCTGAAAAGAGTAATAATAAATAACAACATTAAAGCAGTAAGATGCTTCACAGATTATCTTGTCCAAAGTCTTTATTTTTAAAAATGAAGTTGAAACTCACAAGTAAGATGGTATCCAAAGTCATAAGAATAATTAGCAGAAAAATATAGGGCGATAACCTTTTAGTCAAGAACTCTGCTTACCATATTATGCTGCTTCCCTTCAACCTTAATTTAAAAATTGTAAAATGTTTTTGGATCTAAATTAAAATAGTCATCAAAAGGCTTACATAAGGAGATCTCTGTCACGCTAAATTTTGTTTTTTATGAAAGACCTTATTTTAGAAAAAGTAATTCATCCAATTTTTCTAAAGAACAATGGCTAATAGGATCTTCTAGAATTCAACCTATTGCATTATTTGCAAATGGCTAAAAAATAGGTGATTTGACAAGAAAATGTGACTCTACATTAAAGGTCTCAAACTTACTGTATCAAAAACTGATATCCTTTTTCTAATTATTCTATCTTAATTTCTTCATAGTACTTAGTATCTGAAATTGATATTTTAGTATATTTACTTGTCTTATATGCTTATATGCTTATCACCACTAAAATATTAGATTAATCAGAGCAGTGGTGTTTTAAAAGAACTCACAATAGACTAGAAAACAAAGCTGATCGTTCACTAATTTACTCATTCATTCTTTCAGCAACTATTTACTGTGTGCTTAAGATGTGCCAGGCACAGTTCCAATTCTGGGAATCAGAGAGCAAGTACATTAACATGTTTCCTGAGCTCACGGAATTTCATTATTTTAAGGATTAAAATTAATTAGCTGAGCCATAAAGGAAGGTGACTCTAAAATGCTTTCACTGACACACATAAATATATATTTATTGTTATATATATAAGTCCATTTTATAAGTGTTTGAAAAGTTATACCTGGTGTTCTGGCTTTCATAAGTAATCTAACAAAAGTCCCTCGCCATACCGCTTGGATTTTAGTTGCTGCTGCTACTTCCTCAGGAGAATACTCTTTCTCACTTTCTGGTATACAATATTTAGTGTCCACCCATTCCACTAGAAAGAGAAAAACAATCTTTGTGCTGAAAGTTATATTTAATCCCTTCACCAATTCCAATGCCTTTAGCTACTAAAACCCTCTGACATATACAATGCCACAATAAGAGATCTGTCATCATATTTGACATTGTCCACTGTAAGTGGCTCTTTTTAGCATTCTGAAGAAGAGAAACACACAAAATAGAGACTTCTTAGTGAACTACTACTGATTCCTCTGTGAATATAGCCGGAGGTTTCTCTCAAAATAAAAGAATAAAAGAATAAGACAAGGATGCCCACTATCACCACTCCTATTCAACGTAATACTAGATGTCCTAACCAGAGCAATCATGCAAGAGAAATAAAAGGTATACAAATAGAAAAAGAGGAAGTTAAATAATTTCTCTTCACAGATGACACAATTCTATACCCAAAAAAACTGTAAAGATTCCACCATAAGACTCCTAGTTCTCATAAACAACTTTGGTAAAGTCCTAGAATACAAAATCAATGTCCAAAAATTAGTTCCATTTCTATATAACAGCAGCATTCAAGGTGAAAACCAAATCAAGAACATAATTCCATGTACAATGTCACAAAATAAAATAAAATAAAATAAAATACCTTGGAATATATCTAACCAAAAAGGTGAAAGATCTTTAAAATAAGAACTATAAAACACTGCTGAAAGAAATAAAAAATGACACAAACAAGTGGAAAAACATTTCATGCTCATAGATTAGAAGAATCAATATTGCCAAAATCTTCATAGTACCTAAAACGATCTATAGAGTCAATGCAATACCTATCAAACTACTAGCATTATTTTCACAGATCTAGAAAAAACAATACTTAAATTCACGTGGAAAAAAAAGAAAAGAAAAGAAAAGAAAGAATGAAAGAAAGAAAGAAAGAAAGAAACTAAATAGCCAAAGCAATGTTAAGCAAAAAAACGAAACAAAACACAAAAACCAAAGCCAGAGGTATCACATTGCCAGACATCAAACTTTATTACAAGATGACAGCAAACAAACCTGCATGATACTGGCATAAAAACAGACATGCAGACCAGTGAAACAAAATAGGGAACCCAGAAATAAAATCACCATCTTACAACTATCTCATCTTTGACAAAATCAACAAAAACAAACACTGGGGAAGGGACACCCTATTTAACACATGGTGCTGGGGAAATTGACTGACCATATGCAGAAGAATTAAGCTGAATTCCTTCCGCTTACCATATACAAAAATTAACTCATGCAATAAATTTATGACTAAGATCTCAAAAGCAAATACAGCAAAAACCAAAATTAATAAGTGAGATTTAATCAAACTAAAAAGCTTCTGGATAGCAAAAGAAACCATCAACAAATTAAATGGCCAATAGAATTGGAGAAAATATTTACAAATGATGCATCCAACAAAGGACTAATATTCAGAATCTATTAAGAACCCAAATGAATTAACAGGAAAAAAATAACCCTATTAAAAAATGGGCAAAGGACATGAACAGACACTTCTCAAAGAAAGACATCTAAGCAGCCAACAAACACATGAAAAAAATGCTCATTATTAATCATCAGAGAAATACAAATCGAAATCACAACAAGATACTATCTCACATTCATAAGAAGAGTTGTTATTAAAAAATTGGAGAACAACAGATGTTGGCGAGGTTGCAGAGAAAAAAGAGAGCTCATATTCTCTTGGGAGGAATGTAAGCTGGTTCAAACCCTGTGGAAAGCAGTTAGGATATTTCTCAAAGAATTAAAAATAGATTTACCACTCAGTTCAGCAATCTGGACAAAGGAAATGTGGTACATATATACCATGTAATACTACATACCCATAAAAAAAATCATGTCCCTTGCGGCAACTTGGATGCAGTTGAAGACCATCATTCTATGTAACATATCATAAGCAAAAAAACTAAATACTGCATGCTCTCACTTATAAGTAGGAGCTAAACATTGAATAAACACATGAATTCGGATGAGAACAACAGACACTGAGGGAGGACCCCTGAAGGGGAAAGGGTGGGAGGGTGGTAAGGGTTGAGAAACCACCCACTGGGAACCATGCTCACCACCTGAGTGATGGGCTCAACAGAAATGTAAACCTCGCTATCACACAATATATCTATGTAACAATCCTACACATGTATGCCTTGAATATAAAAGTTCTTAAAAAAAAAAGGAAATGTTAAAATAGTGGGAACAAAGAATGGGAAGGGGAGGAAAGTAGATTATTTGAATTGGAGGATCCTCCCAGAATTCTTCAAATAATATCATATATATTAGTGACTTTCATATTTTTTAAGGTAAGGAACAAATAAAATATGGAAATTTTGGGCTCCCCTTGAAGTATATATGGTGAGGATTGGGAGTAGAGGATACTCAGCAATCCTTGGAAGCCCTTGATCTTCCCAGAGCATAGTTTGAACTCCATCACTGTCTACCATGCTTCTACCTACTTCACCAAAACTTTGAGAGCACTTTTGTCAAATTGTTCACCTTATATAAAACTAGGAATTCATTAAGTAAATATCTAAATTTTAATCAGTACCTAAAGAGGTCTCCTCCAATGAGGAATCAAGTAACTCCATGTCCAAAACCAAAGCACAGAATGCAAATCTGAAGTTTGGAGAAGGCTTTGTTATTTGAATTTTTCTCATTAAACGCCATAAAGAAATGCTAAAAACCTGAAACAGATAAAATATGTTTATGTATTTTTTAAACCGCAAAAATATCATCACCTGGCTATAGAGTCTCTAAAATAATTTAGATGTCTAAAAATAAAAAAATAAAAATTTCTCAGTCATATATGCAATCTAAGGAGGCTTTTCAAAGTCTCACTCATGCCGTAAGAGACTAAAATTATCATTTGACTATTACTAATTTAATAAAACTTAATCACTACAACAGTATTTATTAAATAAAATAAATATATAATATACAATATAATAGACAGTAAATAAATACAATAGCATTAAACTGGTTGAGGAGATACAGAGAAAGGTAAAAATATGATATTTTTGCTTAATCAGGTTAATTGTCATTTTTCATTGATTCTAAGATTCCATTCATTATAAGACATGCTATTATTTTAATGTGCCTCAAAATATGAAAATATGTTGCTTAGAGTTTTCATCACTTTCTTGTCACTTTCTTATCAGTTCATATCGAAAAACTCTTAAGATTCATTTACAAAAAGTTTTTTATCATATGTCACATAACTGTACAATTATCAAAATATGTCATGTAGATATTTTGCTATCAAAATACCTTCCTTTTGCATAAGTGATGCAAGCACAATGACCTCTTACATATTAATCAGGGATAGCCACTATAGGCCCACACAGAGTAACCTTTATAGCAGGAATTGTGACTACGCATAAGCTCAACTGCATGGACTCTCTTTTACTCAGGCTTTGCCATCTAACCTGTCAGCATCAGAAACTGACTGATCTTTTGGTATGGTATCATCCTCTGAGGAATACCCAGCCAGTTACCTGGTGAAAAATTGATTTCAGTGGTCTTCAAACAAGGTGAGTTAGTAACTCTTTACTAAAATTGACACCTTCTTCAGTAAAAGTTTGCTTTTTCTGTCTTCAGTGCCTCTAATAGCATCATTATCCAAGAGGTTAAAGGAAATCTGATTTACAAACATGAGATCTAGCCTAACGTACCCTTGGATCAAGAGTCCTATTAGAGAGTAAGACTTTAGCCATTGGGAATAATCTGGAACCCACTGGCCCTAAACATATAGACAGAATTGATAAAATTCCTGGTAGATGGGAATGACACACGAAAGGTTCAGATAAGAATTCAGTATGGGAGCCGGGCCCGGTGGCTCAGCCTGTAATCCCACGCCTTTGGGAGGCTGAGGTGAGTGGATTGCCTGAGCCTACAGGTTTGAGACCCGCCTGGGCAGCGAGACCTCATCTCTACAATAAATCAAAAATTCAGGCGGGTGTGGTAGCGCATGCCTGTAATTCCGGCTACTTGGAAGGATGAGGCGGAAGGATCGCAGGAGCCCAGCAGGTCGAGGCTGCGGTGGCCTGGAGCGGCCACTGCGCTCCACTCTGGGGGACAGAGTGAGACTCCAACTCAAAAAAAAAAAAAAAAGAATTCAGTATGGGGATGATACCCTGAAGTATGTATATTGAACCAATGACCAACATATCAACATATGGTGTTATGTCTGCATAGTTAAAACATGCAAGCCTGCAAGTCAAAAGTAGGACTGGCCTCTCTCTCCATCATTTGCTATGATCCATTTGCAGAATCTGTGCTCTCTTTCTCTACAACAGAATTAAGAATCTGGCCCACCCATCAGGCAAGTAACTAGAAGCATTGGCTGCAAAAGTGGAAAATCTAGAATAGTTGGTAGAGGCAAGAGATGTTGAATACCAATAATGGTCCCAAAGTCACCAAGAGCAGTGGAAACTCTAGCTTTTTTGTCATGTGGTGATTTAGTTACTTATTTGTTAAATTTTAGAGCCTGTGCTCAGCTACCAATTTGAAGAATGAATGGCAGAGTTTACTTAAGGATGAGGTACTATCAGACTAGTTCTAGAGGTGAATTATAACAAACATTTCTTACATATTACACATGTCCTAGGTTAGTGGTTCTCAACTGGATATGATTTGCACCATAGGCAGAGCTGCCAGATAAAATACATGACACTGTAGGGACATACAAATTAAAAATAAAAGACTTAACCCTCCCTATGGAAAGTAAGGGGAGTGATTTCTTCCCCCATATCATTTGTATTACAATATTTACTTTAGAAGACTTGTAATTATAAATCTTCTCTCCCCTTCTCTTTGAAATGTGTGTAAATCTTTTTAACGCTAAGTAACCCTCTTACCAGTTTTACAACCCAGAAATGTTTTTCTTAAGGACCTGGGAAGCATCTCTTTGAAATATTAATCATCAGGGTGGACAGCACCCCTACCTCCCAGTTTCTCTGAGAGAGTAGAAGCCTAACTTCAGCAAGCACCTTACTCCAAGTTGAAGACGAAATCTTTCAAAAGGTATTACAAGTTTATTTTTCTCATAATAAAGTTAATTATCTAGCACATGGTCACTCCTAATATCAAGTGAATTTGGGATGAATATGTGTGGTGAATGGTGCTATCAAATCCTTTCAACTTAAGGACAAGTTATTGTTTGTCTTGCCAGCATGTATGAAATGGGCTGTATCTACTGCATATTGTTTGTATCTATAGATACATTATTTTAAAAAGAAAGTTTGCTCTTGTGAACATCATATCCAGAACAAGCTTACCCTGAAGTGCTGTGCAGTGAGTTCCTTATTGTGGAGTGGGATAGGGTAGAGAGCTGATTGCAGATCCCTCAGAGCTGCAGGAAGTTTACCTTTATCTTTGAAATTTGCAATCACATTGCCAACAGCTTTCAAAATCAGCAGTGACTGCTCTGTAAATCGGTTGCTTTCCTGTGAAGACAAAGAATAACAGCTGTCCTTACTTGCCATTATTTAAGTGTAATTTAGTTTACAAAAAGTAAATTTCTATTACAATATTAAGCCCCTGCTAGGTGGCTGATTCGAGAGTTATTTACAGAAGACTTACTTGATATCAAGGCAGTTTGCTTGGTGATGTGGTCTGAGAGATATAAAACATGAATGCAAGTCCTACCTGACTGGGAACTTGTAGGAGCATCACCTATCTCACATTGAAGTCAGGGAAAGGTTCTTCACAGTAGAACCCAGACCTACTTCTGATAATATATAGGATTAGTCTAATAAAAACTGTGGGGTTTGAGAACAGATTAAAGAAAAGACTTCAGGGAGAGAGCCACATGGATAAAAAAAGACAATAGGCAAAACAAGCATGGGCTTCAGGCTCCCTCCTGCTGTCAATTCTGAGGAAACAAAGTAAGAAGACACAGAGATTTCAAGAAGTAACTGGACTGCAAAAATCTGAGAAAATCCTGAAGTGTTTGGAGGCTGTTCTAGTTGATGTATGGTGGCTAGTAGCAGAGTTGCCTGAAGCAGCTGGTGCCTGGAGGCAGCATGAAGAGGATGAAGGTGAAGGAAGAATTTGTTTTGTTTTGTTTTTTCCCTAAGGGGACGCCATGGTGCAATTATTACCACTTGGTTCCCTGCAGAAATCTTTAGGAATAACCCAACAAGTGGACAGTTCAGATGCCTGTTGGGGTGAGAAACTGATGGAAGCAAGTGCAACTGACTTGCCCCCTGAATGCGTTTACTTCTCCATCATCTCCCTCAAATCCTCTCAAAGTCTCATTTCAGTGGTGATTCTCCCTAGGGTAAAATCATGACCAGAAAAGAGGTCGGATGACAGCACTAGGAGAGATCAATTATGGAGTCAAAAGTAGGATTAGCCTCTCTCCCTATCATTTGCCATGATCCATTTGCAGAATCTGTGCTCTCTTTCTCTGCAGCAGAATTGAGAATCTGGACTACCCACCAGGCAAGTAACTAGAACCACTGGCTGCAAAAGAGGAAAATCTAGAATACTTGGTAGAAGAGAGAGATGTCGAGTGCCAACGAGCTGGAGTCTCTCTTCTCTTGGGCCAGTCTATTTCCTTTTGCATCTTTATTAGAGTCGAAGAACAAAGAGGCTTGGGCTTGAGCCCCAATAATTTTGATAAGATAGAGAAATGATATATCCAAGGAAATATGAGCTCACAGACCAAAATAAGTCATCACCTGGGGAGATCAATCACCTAAAGGAAGACAGTAAATTGGATAATGCATACCATATAAAGCATACCATATATGCATACCATATAAAACATTTTTTTTAAGACAAGAATTCAACATTAGCAGGATACACATAGTTAATGAAGAAATAAGAGACATCTGCTTTCAAGGTTAAGTTGTTGTTCTTCCTTCTGTGCCTGATGAACAGGAGGGACAGAGAACAGTGAGAGATGGCCCAGCAAATTGAGGAGGCAGCCCTGGGGAATCTTGCACTAACCACTAGACAGGCAAGAACACACAAGAGGGGCATGTCTGGGACATAAAAATGATGGATTAAGGAGTCTTTCTTGAGTCACTTCTTGCAAAATTTGTTGACTGGTTTAGAGAATCCTATCAATACAAGGTGGTGTCACTTGGAGTTAGTTTTTTGTTTTTTTTAATTCTTTGTTTGGTGGTGGAAGGGTTAGAGTTGAGGATGTGTCAGGAATCATGCAGTGGAAATGCCATGTGCAAATCTTTCCCCAAATTCACATGTGCAGAGAGAGGACATCTAAAACCAAGAGGAGAATTCAGAGGAGAATCTGAACCCATTTACTTCACCTCTCCCTTCAGAGCCTGTCAGGGTAGAGGAACAAGAGAAACCAAGATATGCCCAAGGAGAGAGAACATGAAGGAGAAGTGATAGAACCTTCCATGGGTTACCCCTTGCCCTCAAATCCCAGGGACACACACTCCAAATTCCTTAGGCCAAGGAAGGAATGAAAGAGGAGAAAGACAAGCAAATTTTAAACTGTATAAAAAAGGACTGAAACTGATCCTTTATACCCAAAGAATCAATGATACTATGGTATCTATCTGAGATGTTAACAGATGTGAGAAGGGATTCAACCAAGTTGAGATAAAATAAGTTATTGGAGAAATAAATATATATATTTGTGTCCCTACAGGGTTTCAGCTGTTCATTATACAGGATTCACTCAGGGATTTCTTGCAGAATATACTTAATAGCTTTAAAAGAAAAGAAAAAATAAGTAAGTTGAATACAAAATAAGAATAGTATTTAGTTCAAGTTCTTGGAAAATAAATCACACAAAAATTGCAGTTGCAAAATATTTACTTGCTCAAAGTTGGGCAGCACAACATCTTCATCCCCAAAGACAAAAGTCACCATGCTGCAGATTTGTATTGAATGTCCCACTGGGGCATACGCAGTGAAGAGCAGCATATGTCTCCTAAAGAGAAGGGACACTGGGTGATGACCGAGTTCTTCCTATGTAGTAGCATTTGACACATTCGTTGCTTGATGACAGCTTAGAACTCAAACCAAGACAAATCTCAGCACTTTGGGAGCCCGAGGTGAGTGGATTGCCTGAGCCCACGGGTTTGAGACCAGTCGGGCAACTTGGCAAGACCTCGTCTCTACAATAAATCAAAAATTAGCCGGGCGTGGCAGTGCCCGCCCATAGTTCCGGCTACTTTGAAGGCTGAGGCGGAAGGATCGCATGAGCCCAGCAGGTCAACGCTGGGGTGGCCGTGAACCTGCCACTGCACTCCAGCCTGAGTGACAGAGTGAGACTCCAACCTATCCACTCCTCCCCCCCCCCAAAAAAATAGATCAAATGCTGAACTTCTCTCCAGCACATGCTGGAGAACTTATCTCCCACACACTACAGTCATGTTGTGAATGACTAGTCTTGATTTTTTTTCCCTGACAATCACTTATGTGAGTATTGGGCTGTATAGATTTCATAGTCTTTTCCTCACAAATGCATCATTTCATGTATGTCATTTGTGTCTCCTCTATAAGGATGCGGTATCACTAAGAGCAGGGACATTTACTTTCCCTTAGTTATGGAGTATTTAGATAATGTTCAAAACGTACATGTTACTAGGTTAAGTTCCTGGAGGAAAAATGGATATAAGAAGATTCTTGATTAATTCTCTGTCCATGGTTGTCTCAAAATATGGGCACTTAGACAGAGTAACTTGATTTCTGGCAGAATTTCTCCACACTGAGTGTGTAGGGCAGATGTGAGAAATGTTTAAGTTTTAAAAATATGTTATTTCTAGAAGTCCTGGATACTTGCCATACATTATTTTAGCATTTGATTCTGTTGTTTAGGTTTTTCTTTTTGTGCAAGAACCATACCTAACTTTTCACTGATCACATAGAATTAGCATGTTTGACCTTTGGGGGAACACCCAGTGAAAATATTTATTTCACTTGAAATATGAGGTAGTATTTATTAATTTTTAATTATTCATCAAAGTAAAAAATTCAATTATATGTATTTTATTTAAAATGTAAACCATAATGTATTTAGCCAGCTATATCTGATTTAAAAACAATATCTAAACTGCTGGGGGATGGAGGGGCACACCTCATCAACAAGGGTACCTGCATAATCAACGTTTGTATACCTAACCCTGAGTTGTACCCCACATCTTTAAAATAGAAAAATAAAATAAAATAAAAATGATATCTAACAAAAATAAACTATGGGTAAAACTATAGATTGGTAGGGGAAATGTTTCTCAATCTCTGTTTAAACAAAATCAGGACTCTTGCTAAGTAATATAATATTTATGAGAAAACAAAAGAGATTCTTTAGTAAATTAATGTTAGAAAATACTGGGTTAAACAAGTTTACACAGTAGTGTTCACTAAATAATTCTCAGAACCTTTGACAATTATGAATCTTCCAAAAGGGCATTCATTGTACAACACTTCTCAACTGATTTGTTTTGTGGAACTATTTTTTAAAAGAATAATAATAGACCTGTACTTTGTTAAAAATTACTTCAAGAAACAATATCCTAGAGTCCACACTGTCTACTTCTTTAGGAATCAATAGTTTATAAGCCTTCAAAAACTCTTAGTATGGGATAAATAAAGTCACTCCATACCCAACAGGCAGACGAACCATTGTAGCTTTGGTAGCATATGTGTGAATCTTCAGAACAAGATTGCGTGACTTCAGAGATTTCCAAGAAAAGGTTTCAGCTGTTAGAAGTCCAGGTTCTATGGAAGGGCTGTTTTTTGTTAAGGCTTTAAGATAAGTGAAAAAGTCTTGAAATTTGATTGTGAACACATAGCTGGCCTTCACTTGTATTACTTTTATTCAGTAACAGCATAAATATTAATAATAATGATCAAGAATTAGAGATATTCTAAAAATTTTCATAAAAATTTGGAAATGACTTCAGGTAAAACATTGAAAATAATACTCAAATAGAACCCAGATCTTTCTCCTATTTTAGATGCCTCCTCATAATCATCTCCTCAAGTGCAGAAACCAGAAATGAGTAAATTAGAAAAAGGAAGACATTTTTCATTGTAATATGCCATCACTTTTATTATCCCCAGTAATTGCAATATCTCTCCAGATGCAATTTTAAAGGGAAAAACATACCTGAGAAAATAAGAGATTTCTCTAAGATAGTATCAAAATAAGTCAAAATATCCCATCTTTTACCTAAATGTTTACCGTTAATTCACAGTCTTTGACTTTATATAAAAATAACAAGTAACCAACAAAAATTTAATTTTAATATCAAATTTTTCTTTTAAATGGATAAATTGTATGGACTAGTCTTCATCAATGACTAAGGGCAAAATGCTCTTTTCCCTGTTTCCAGAAAACACTGGAGCTGAAGATACAAAGTCACAACGTGCCTTCATGCATATAGAATTTAAATGTTCTATGACATGGTGTGTCTTCAGAACTATTGGTTTGGTAGACATGCTAAACTTAGATCACAAAGTTTAGAAAAGTTTATTACACAGCAAGTAATTATTAGCCACCTATTGTAGGCTAGATGCCATTTAAACATTGGAGATACTTCAGTAAAAAAAAAAGTCCTTGCCCTCAATGTTAGCAAAACATTCAACATTAAGCATTCAGAAACTATTTACTCTATACCTACAGTCCTAGGTACTGTAAACTAGAGCTAAAGATGAGCATTTTAACAAAACAGGCCTAATTATTTAATAATGATTCTGTGTGTGTGTGTGTGTGTGTGTGTGTGTGTGTGTGTGCGCTCATGTGTGCAAGGACTTGGCGTTGCAGAGGAGCAGGAACAATCTATTCATCGGAAAAGGAATGTGGATTAGAGCTTGAGAGAGTTTCTTGTGGGAAGATGACGTGGATGATTTCTGATTTCTTCTCTCTCTTCAGTGAGATCTGCAGCAAGGTCATCAGCTGAACATGAGTGAGGGTAAGAGTGAGTGTTGGAGGTTTGGTGGAAGTGGGGAGAGAGAGAGAGAGAGAAGATTTGAAGGTTTGCAATGGACATCTATAGGAATGAGAGTGGGAGAATGAATGAACTAAAGAAATACTAGTAGTGCTTTGGGCCTTGTGAGATTTGTGTTCCTCAATTTTAGGCACAACAGCTATGTTTGTTTGTTTACCTCCTTCCAGTCATGCTCAGCTGCTCTTTTGCAACCATGGATTAGGCACACTGCTGAGTTTTACCAATATTGGGATTTTGCCAGGAAGGCAGGATGAGAGGACAAAAAGGGCAAGTGTGTTGATGGTATGTGCAAGGATTTCAGTGAGGGATCATGGAAGCCATGTTGGGAAAGGGAGATAAAAGGACGCGACTGTGATGGATAAAACAATATGGTAGGGTAGAGGGACTAAGGTCCCAGTGGAGTCAAAGATTGTAGGTGTGGGAGTTCTAGAGAGAATGAACTGGAGACTCACAGGGTGGTGACTGAAGAGTGAGTTGCTTGAAATTGAGATGACTGACATGATGCATTAATTGGTAAAGATAAGGTCTATGGCATAACCATGAAGGTAGAGGGCCGAGGTGGGATGGAGGAAAAGACTGTTGTAATTGTCAAATCAAAGAAAAATCGTTGGTTTTTCAATAGATGCTGAAATAATTAAGAATAATGATATTTTCAAGTGAGAGAACAACAACAGCAGCAGTAGCAGAATGACTAGGTACTCCAGAAAGGAGCACAGATGAATGCACCCATGATAGGTGCAGGAGGCAAGAGTGAGTGTAATCCCTGATGTCCAGGAGTGAGAGCATCCCCAGAGGAGGTACCATTGTTGGTCATGTGGGACACTGGAGAAACTCTGGAAAGGGAAAATGTTCCCTCATTCATGGTCTAAAAATCTTACTATTGCATGATCCCTAGCCTGAACATGATCTGGGCTTTTAGACTTACTTCCTTAAAGCTCTCTTACCTCCATATTCCCCCCAACGTACCAATGCAGAAAAGCTAACCAGTAGTTCAATAGGTTTTAGACTATCCACAAATAGGTAGTAGGACACACGTTCTTCTGAGAACTACAAGAAATTAGACCAATTATCATACTTAATGTAAGTCCATTAATGGTGTTATTTTTTCACTTCTAATGGTAATATAACGCAATACTTACTATTTACAAGAAACTATGCTCTAGACACCACAATGAGTAATTTATGGGTTTAATAATATGAAGAAAATCATACTGGGTGGATGTTGGCAACAGTCTATGGAAGCTAGTCTGCAGTGCCCGTGTGAGACTGGCCACCATAACAAAGGGAGCCAAGGAACTCTTTGGAAACAAAAGGACCATGCTTATTCCAGAAATGAGAAAGAGAGGAGGAGACTGGGCTGAACAATGCTCAGAGAATGGCTTCATCATCAGAAAGAAGACTACAGAGTAACATTAGCAAAGAATAGGAATGTCTAATGGGGTTGTATTAAGGTATTTTACAGGGTGGCATAATATTTGAAATAAACGCCCTCTTCCTTCTTTCACAGGATCTTCAGATACTTACTCATTGCTTGCTGATATACCAGACTGTGGAATTTTATTTTGGAGATGCAATAAAGGAGTGAATAAAATTCAGAACTTCCCTTGAAAGGTAGCCACATAAGGGTTAAATTATAGAATTTCAATTCATCCTATATGGGTACTTCTAGTGCCCCTAATTTTGGGTGAAAAAACTGAAACACAGAGAGGATAAGTGATCTGGCAAAGGTCACAAAGTTTGTAAGTAGCAAAGGTGAGATTCAAAAGTAGGTATATCTAAGTGCCTGACTCTAAGGTTGGTACTCTTGACTACTGTGTTATTATTGACTCACAAGTTCTCAGTACACTAACATAATTTTGAATGAAGGCATATGGCAAATGTATTCAATGAATGTAATTGTTGCTATACTATAAATATTTTCACATTATGCTTATATTATTTTACCACATTATTTAAATAATCAGTTAATATAGGAAAGAAAAATCTCTAGTAATGCTATGAAAAAGGAAACCTTGTATTTAATCAAGTATAGCAGGATTGTTAGAAATGCTTGACTCAATGTAGTCACATTGGTTATCATTTGAAATTTCATTTCACTTTTTTTCCCTTTCAGCTGAAACATATTGATTTGATAGTTGTTTCAAATATTCACTATCGGAAAATGTGAAGGACCCTGAATTTCTCCTTCTAGCGTGCATGCCTGAGGAGAAGTTTCTGCTCTGAGCTCATTTGCTGCCATTTTTAAGGGTGGGAGAATTTGTGGGCAGGGTGGTCCTGAAGGCCACACAGAGAGACTCTGCCCTCGTGTGAGCACATGGCGCCCTCAGAAGGCTTCTGCCCCATCCCCACGCTGAGGATCAAGGAAACATCTATGGAATGTGCTGAGGATGGACCTCAGGCTTTGTGCCCCAGGTTGGCTGGCCACTAAGATTAGGAGTGTCTGGAGTCAGACTACAGCCAACCCTTCCTTTCAGGCCATACTAGATACCATCAAGTTTGCATTCCACAACCCTCCAAGAAAAACTATGAATGTTAAAAAAAATTCAGGGAAATGAAAGACTCGTGTAGGAATGCCATTATTTTATTTTGCCAAGCTGAGTTATTTAAAAGAAAAAAAAACTTTATTTACCATCACTTCATAAGAATATGATCAGAATAAAGAACAATTGACCATTTTGCCACACACACATTTATATTATAATGTTATGTGCAACAAAAACTTCTATGCAAACTGCCTTTGGTAAATGATTGCCGACATTTATTACGCTTACTAATAGGCATTCCTCTAAGCAGCTTACATACATTATCTCAAAGTTGATCTGCTTCATTTCCCTTAGATGGAAAATGATTATAATAATACCTCTTTCCTACTCTTTACTATAAATAGTTAACGCAATAAAGAACCTAATTCAGGGCCTACAACACCTATATGCAATTGTCATTTTATTATTGACAATAGTTTAAATATGGAAACATGCCTAAATACACTGTACATTATTCTTGTATCATGCTCTGGTTTCAGCTCGTCCTAATGAACAGTTTGGCTATCTTTATAAAATCAAAGCATTCCTCAAGGTATTTATATGGACCCCAGGACTAGGTGAACTATTTCCTGCCCCAGTTACTATCACAGATCTGATTCTCATCTTCAGAGTAGGCCACTAGCTGCAGAACACCTCTGGCAGGATGTTCAATAGGTTTTTTTCTGCCTGAGTTTTCATCTGTTACAAGTGCAATGGAAAAGTTTTATTAAAGACTCTCTATTTCCCCCACCTCTGAATATTGTTCATGTAGGTGTGGGATTATCAATAGGGGCTTCTATGGCCTTGTCCTAAGATAGGAAAGCATACAAATTTCAGTACAATTGTGTTTCCCAGAATATGTGTCATAAGTTTCCCCCAATTTCTTTCCATGTAAGATTCGTTAATTAACTTAGTTAATTAACTTATTCAACAATTTTTGTATTGCATTCCTACTTCGGGCCAGAAATGGTCTTGCAATGGTAAACAAAAGGATACAGTCCTTTAAAGATCCTAACATCAAATAGGGGACAGTATGGCACAGAAAAGCAAGTAGCCAGTTGGGATGGTGGGCGGTTAATGCTAGATAAACACAGAGCATACAGAGAGTAAAGTTGAGCCTCCTAACCCAGACTCCATGTCCAGGGAAGGGAGGCCTCACAGAGTCAAGACATCTGCCCTGTTCTGAAGGACTTCTAGGCATTAGCTGGACAAAGACAATGAGGATAAGGAAAATGAAAGGGAAGAAATTCCAGGCAGAGGCAGCACATGGGTAAAACTAGAACAAAACAAAACTAAAAGCAACAAAAAATTTCCTAAAGTATCCAGATATGATGGTTGAAATGTGTTTATGATTTAGGAACTATCCACCAGTCAGCAAATACTAATTGAAACCAAATCTATTTGGCTTATTTATGCATCACCTTCATTTATTCATAAAGCAAGATTTTCCTAATATGAATTTGTATAATAATGAAGCTCAGGTTTTAACCACTGCAACATAGTAAGATGGATCACATTTGAAGATATGAACTGGTGAAATTTTGCTTATTATCTGAATAAGGGATTAGTAGAAGACTGAAAATTAATTTCTAAAATATAATTATGTTACACATTTAGAAATACTTGAGAAAATTTGAAGGTGTTTTTCACTCGTGTGAATCTCCCCCAAATTTAAATGTAAGAAGGGGAATAGAAGAAATTATATTTACCTTAAATTCTGATTTTTGAAAGTTAAGGCAATATGAACTCGGCTTGTGAAAAATATATATATTTCTGAAAAAAATATTTATAACAGGTTGTTGTCATTACATGCAAACACTAGTAGTACTATATGCTAAGTTTCTTATAATCAAATAATTATAGGGAGAAAGTTAAAAATTATAACAACTGTATCGAGTTGGTTACCCTTAAGAAACAAGAATAATTCTAGTGAATAAATTAACCTTTTTAACTTTAATATCCAAAAGATGTGAACTGAGTTTAGTATATACTAAGGGTTTAAGTTTGTGTCATTAAGACACAGAATATGTTTATTAAATGATTGAATCGTATTAAATGATTGACTCTTGCAACAAAAGGTAACACATTAACAAATAAGTCTTTGAGGAGAAGCTGAAACTGTCTTGAGATTGGCTTGGCTATTAATGTGCTGTGCAGATAATCAACATATTTATTTTTCCCTTCTAAAGCTTTTATTTGCTATTGCACCAACAACAGGCTAATATTTGCTTGGCTCTGAATGATAGTTAAGAATTAATAGATTATATAACCACCGTATCAAAGACACAAAAATAAATCCTATTTTGAACTTGTATAGTAATGTAGCTCAGGATTTAACCACTACAGCATAGTCAGATGGATCACGTCTGGATACCTACTGAAAGCATACACAGAAGTCTTCAAAATCTAACCATATTTCTTTAGAAACACTATCATTCGTTGCTGTGAGTTCTTCCTGAGATTTTTCCTGTGTTGCTGTTGTCTGGCTGACCAAATCTCTTTCCAAGTAAAATCCATCAGTCTGATGGGCGTCACCTAATCCAAGGTCTGTTTGTTCATCTGTGCATAGTAAAAGACAAACATGCCAAGCACACCTCATACTGTTAAGTAGCAAGGTATTAAATTATGGAAAACAAAAAGAGGAGTTTAAATATCAAAGTCTATTTTTGGGGAAAATATTTACTGAGATAATAATTTACATGCAGGCTTCAAATTTGTGGAAGTCCACACAGAGACACATTTTATATACTTAGGAGAATTTAATCATGACTTCTATGCATATTAGAGTGTTCAGAAAATGTAAAATCACTTTCATAAATTTGTGTGTATGTTTTTTAGAGATTGTGAAGTCATAACAGAAATTATCTGTGTACTTAAAATCTGCTATGGGTGGACATATTTTTATAAGAAGGGGTGGCTCAGACAACAGAAGGGGAGATGAAAACTTGAAAGATCTATTGCAACAAATGTGTTTGAGTAAACTAATTACTCCCCACAGTCAGTGATTCTATAGTTTTATTTTATATTTATCAAGTAATGTCATAAAATTCTTGTAGACTTCTAGATCCAAATTTTTATATATGTACATGTCACACAACCCTTTTTTGAATTTGAGTTTTGTCCAAGTTATTATTTAGGAACTAAGGAATTTACAGTGGTTTCAGTATTTTGATCACAAGGTACATGCATTAAAATACGTGAACTTTACTCATGAATCCTTGATCAGTTTGTCTTTTATGTTTATTTTTAGCTTGAATTTAACAAGTGAATTTTTTTTTTTTTTTTTTTTTTTTGCCCAGAGCATATTATACTCAACAAACCAGAGGAAACACTGTAGAGAGACTGCCAAGAGCCAGAGTCAGCTAAAAGTTATCAAGAAGCAGAGATTCTTTCCATGTCTTGATGTCCATTGAGGGGCGGGGAAGTCATGAGAAGATTATTAATTTACCTTTTCCAAGTACAACTTGTGAAGTAGTAGCTCTCTGGGAATTAAAAGAAACAAATTAAGAAACCATTTTAAGTTCAACAAAATATTATAGTTATCTATAGCTCCAAAGTTTACAAAATTTAATATAGTTTTCTAGACATTGAAGAAAGATTTCTGAGAAAACTTACTAAAATATATTAACAAAAAAATTATTTTTAACCTTAAATTTCAAAAGACATGAATTTAATTAATTGACTGAGGGTTTAAGTTTCTGACATTGAAACACAGAATATATTAATTTACTCAATGATTGAACCTTGTAATTAAAAGAGTAATGTCCCTAAATAGACATGTTATTTGGCATGAGGAACCTATCATTAATACAGAGTAATTAATGAGATTATAATTGGCTAATAATATACAGAACCTAGAAAGTTTAGTTTCAATTACATAAATGGTTCCTGAAAATCTTAACAAAAAATTTAAGTAGAATTTATATGCACAACTCTGTTTTCTCTGGAATACAATTAAAATAAATATAAAAGATACAATGGTAGAAACTCACTGACATAGTTTGGATGTTTGTTTCCTTCCAATCTCATGTTAAAATGTGATTTCCGTTCTTGGAAGTAGGGCCTAGTGGGAGGTGTTTGGGTCATGGAGGCAGATCCCTTATGGATGGCTTGGCGCTCTTTTTTTTCTTTTTAGAGACAAGGTTTCACCAAGTGCCCAGGCTGGTCTCAAACCCCTGGACTCAGGCAATCCTTTCACCTATGCCTCCCAAAGTGCTGGAATTACGGCATGAGCCACCGCGCCTGGTTGGTGCTCTTCCAATGAGAGAGTTCTAGCTCCATTAGCTAACCTGAGAGCTGGTTGTTTAAAAGAGCCTGGCATCACCCCTTCCTCATTTCCCCTCTCACCATAAGATAAACTTGCTTAAAACCCAGGAAACACATAACTAATAAAGAATGTCTCTAGTTTCTTACAAAGAACATCTATGAATCAATAAGACATACAACCCAAAGGGAAATTAGGCAAAAGGTAAAAGTAAGCATTGCACAGCAGCACAAACAAAAAATGGTAGTAAATGTATAAAAAGACGTTCAGTCACATCAACAATCTGTTCAGTGTAAATACAAAATACAATAAACTACTTTTTCTTATCAATATAGTTGGAAAAAATTGAAAAAAGAATCATCACACATTCTTGTGAGGGTCTAAGTATGTAACTTTAATATAATCTGGGTGTGAATAAAAAATGGTGCTAATCTTTGAAGTATATTTGGCAATAGCTATTAAAATTTATAATAGAATTTTAATTACTGACCAAACAATTCTACTTCATGTACAAATCATTCATAGAAACCTTATTTATAACAGCAAAAGATGAGGCTCATGCCTGTAATCCCAGTACTATGGAGGCTAAAGGGGGAGGGTGGTTTGAGCCCAGAAGTTTCAGACCAGCCTAGCAACATAGCAAGACCTCATTTGAGCAACATAGCAAGACCTCATCTCTGTAAAATATCAAGAAATTAGCTGAACATGATGGTGCATGCCTGTAGTCCTAGCTATTGGGGAGGTTGAGGTGGGAGGATAGCTTGAGTCCAGGAGGTCAAGTGTGCAGTGAACTGGGATCACGCCACTGCATTCCAGCTAGGTCCACAGAGTAAAATCCTGTCTCTAGTAATAATAACAATAATAATAATAGCAAAAGTTTTGAATCAGCTCAAGAGTCCATCTACAGAGGTTTATAGAAATAAAGTATGGTTCATTTGCATAATGAAAAAGTATGCAACTTTAAGAATGAGATATTCTTTTAATATAGATTGAAATCATCACCAGTATGTATTAAGTATTTTTAAAAATTTGTTAAATTTTGAGTAGAAAAAAGAGGAGGTTGTGGAATATTTTATGTATGTTCATGTGTTTATCTTTACATTTACATGAAGAGATTCTGAATGTTTCCTACAGAGGGCAGAGGGATGAAAATGGGATAGAGAGCCATATAAATGAAAACAAGATTTCTTTACATATGCTTTATATGTATTTTTAAAATTTTAATATGTCAACATATTAACAATTTAAAAAATATACCCTTTTACACCCTCACATTAGCAAACATACAATATCAAATTCCGGCCAGGATGTAGAGCAAAGAAAACTTTCATCTAGTGTTGACGTGTGTAAATATTGATACACCCACATTGGGAAATTGTTTGGCATTTTATTGGAAGTTTATACAGGAGAACGTTCTATGATTCATCAACTATGCTCCCAGATTCATGTCCCAGAGCAGTGTTTCCTAATCCAGTGTCCCCTGAGGCTCATATGAGGGAGGAACTAAAAACCCCAGAATTTACTTGTGAAAAACTGTGTATTTATTTTTACATGTTACTTGTCACCTCCAAAGTACTCTCCATTTGATGCAATATATCTATCGAGATGCTTTTTCCACTGCTCAAAACAGTTTCTGAACTTATCGATGTTGATGCGTTTTAGTGCTTCTGCCTTTTTTGTTTCACATCGGCAAAATGTTTTCCTTTGAGGACTTTTTCATAAGGGAAACAAAGCAAAGTCACTCGGGAAGAGATAAACCGAGTAACAAGGGTGAGACATGGGAATCATACTATTTTTGGTCAAAAACTGCTGAACACTTAGTGTGGTATGGATAGGTGTGTTGTCATGGTGGAAGAACTAGTCATATACTTGCCACAAAAAAATTCACTGATCCAAATGCAGTCTCTCACAACACTGTTAGCTGGTGCATTGTTACCAATGGGGTCCTAGAACATTTACCTAGCAGAGGAAGCCTGTACTATAAAGGGACAGTCCTCCAAAATGATAATTCTGTTTTTTTGAGGGGTCTCCCTTAAAATTAAATTTTAGAAAGCCACTAACATGGGTGTTTAGAAAAAAATTACATCTTCAACTGAAATTCAGCATTTTCTTTAATTATCAACTTATCAGTGAAGGCAAGAAGCCACAATGCTGTTAGCAATAACTGTTACCCCATCAACAAAAGGAATGGCAGTATTTTATGTTATGTTACAGTTGTTACAAATATTTTATAAGAACATGATGCTGATCACTGCTTTGAAATTATAGCAAGTATTAGACCTATTGTATTTCATATGGTCATATTTTTCTGTCTACAGATACTCCTGTGACCTATAGCTGGCCAACTTGAAATTGTATGATCTCACAGTGCCAACCCAGAAGCTATACTGCTTTCCACTGTTCCTGATCAACAATGCTTGGGTAACTAACATCCAAAAAGAGATGAGTTATTTCCAACGTGTGCTAGAGTTTTACAGAATTGTCAAGGGGAGTCATAGTACATAAACTGTTCTGCACCTTGAAACTAAATAAATTCTTGTACATGTTTCAAGAGGACACGTCAAGAGGATATTTGAGAAACATTATAGTACCACTGCTTACTATAGCAAGGAACAGGAATTGATACATATAGCCACTAACTCTGTAATAGATTTAAAAAGCTGTAGCATAGTTATACAATAAATAACATCAGCCGGGGTAATGAATAAATTGTGACATGCAACAAAAGAGACAAATCTCACAAACGTGTTAAAATGAGAGAAGTAATAGGAGAATTAATATGAGTCTACTAAAACATATAACGATTAAACTAAGTCACAAATCATTTATAAATATACATACTTTGCAAAATTAGTATGGAGTTGTTTAATACCAAAGTCTGAATAGCAGAGAGGAAATATAACCCAGAAGAACACACAGGTGACTTTTATAGCAGTTGAATATTCTATTTCCTAACCAAGGTCAGAGATACAGGAGACATTTATTTTAATAGTACTCTTTATACTGTTCAGATGCATTTTATACATTCTTTTGTATGCATAATATATTTCACAATTTAAGAAAAAATCTGTCATTAAGAGTTGGGCCAATAACTGGATACAAAAAATGTGGCATATATTATGTGATAAAATATTATGCAGCTATAAAGAAGAACAAAATTATGGACTTCGCAGAAACTGGATGGATTTAGAGTCTATAATACTCAGTAATTTATCACAGAAACAAGAACTAAGTACCATATTTTCTTACTCATAAGTGGACCCTGAACATTTACTAAAATGCTGTAAGAAAGGGATTGTCAGTAGCCAGAAACTGACAGGGGAGGGAAGGGGACATATAACATCAATAAGAGTAACATCTCAAACCAGGCAAAGTGGGAATCAAAAGTAGACCTGTACAATGACCACCTGTATACCTAATCCTGAACTGTACCCCACATATTTAAAATAAAATTTTAAAAATTAAAACAAAATATAAATAGGAGTTGGGCTAATAATAAGAGTAACAAAGTTACCTGAGATACAGCTCCTATTACTTGACTCAAGTCCGTCTGGCTAAAAGTTGCAGTTTCATCAACTTCAGTGAGGGAAGGTAAGTCAGATCCTGGAGACATCCCTTTTTTAATAAAAGAATTCACATAATGCCTAGTGGGAAAACAAAAACCTAAACTTATTATTTTTCTCCTTTTTAAAATTACTAATAAATAAATGCAGTTTTGTCAGAAATAGCAAGTTCAGATTTTGTTCATTTCCAACAACGTTTTTTTTTAAACTTTATGTTAAAACATTGAATAACTTTCTGAACTACTGAAAAAAATGTCTGCATCAGTCAATGTATTGATGTTACAGATTACTGGAACACTATGTGTTTAAAAAATTTCTGGAACACTGTTTGGTAGTCATCTTTGGATTTAGATGATCAAAACAAATTTTGATATTTATAACTGATTTAATCAAATATTAAAGCAATATGCCAGTGAAAGAGGGCTCATACTCAAAAATTTATTTATAAATTTGAGCACTTAAGTTTTTTTTTTTTTTTGAGCACTTAAGTTTATAACTGTGACATTTATACTTGCTTACCAAGTACACAGTATTTCCTTTCAATTAACTGCTGATATGACTCCAAATTATCTTGCTATAGTGAGAATTTTATAGGAACAATAAAAAGACATTTTTCATAGTATATGTATTTTAAGTGTGTTCCAAATATAAAATTAAATTCTGTCTGTATAGACCATCAACTTGATTTTTTTTTTCTAGTTAAAGTTCTGTAAAACAATTAATTTCTATCAAAACTTCTCTGACTTGCATGAAAAAGCCACTAGAGGGTAGCATAAACATATTTGTGAGTCTCCAATTCTACCAAACAAGGCTATAAGCCAAGAATGGGTAAACGTAGAGGAGAGTATTGCTACAGTGAGTGTTCAATGACAGAAAGTTGTGACAGCAGTCACTTTCAAGGGCTTGCCAAAAAAGGGCTTGCTCTTACGTGGACCTCAGAACTCCGCACAGCAAAACAGGTCAAGAGATACGTCTTTCACATAGGATAAAATGCCATTCACGTATCTTTGATTAAACTCTGCCAGATAAAATAAATATCCAAATGAATTCATAAAGGATTCAAGCAGTGGATAGATTAGTTGCATCTAATCAAGTGATAAAGTCACCTGTTTCTGGGTATTAGAATTTCATCCACCTTAATCAAGTAATAAGGCTGAAAGAAGATACAAGAAAGTCATAAGTAACTTAGGGAATTCAGGTTATGAAATCAACCCATTTGCGGTCCCTATTGGCATAGGGATTCTAAAAGGCTGGGTATGACTATTTAAATTGGGAGAATATTTGTCTTGTGGTCTGCAGTGCCAAGTTTTACAACCCACAGAGTCTCTGATCAGTATGCAAACTCAATTAGCTGAGAAATAAACAGAAATAATTTGGAATGGCAAAATCATCATCGTGGTGGGTGTTTAGGTGTCAACTTGGCTGGATTGATTGAGGAATGTCTAGATGACTGGTGAAACATTATTTCTGGTATTTCTGTGAGGGTGTTTTTGGAAGAGACTGGCATGTGAGTGGGTAGACTGAGTGGGGAAGATCCACACCCAGTGTGGACAGGCACCATCAAATTAGCTGGCGACCCAGATAGAACAAAAAGGCACAGGAATAGTGAACTGGCTCTCTCTCTTACAGATGGGAGATCCTCTTTCTCCTGCTGTTACAAATAAAAACTCTAAGTTCTTTGGTCTTTGCACTCTGGGACTTGCACCAGCAGCTCTCCAGGATCTCAGACTTTGGCCTCAGACTGAGAGTTTCACTATTGGCTTCTCTGGTTTTGAGGCCTTCAGATTTGGACTGAACTACTACACACTACTGGCTTCCCTGATTCCCTAACTTGTAGACAACTTATTGTGGGACTTCTCAGCTCCAGTAATCATGTGAGCCATTTCCTCTAATAAATCCCCTCTCATCTCTCTCTGTCTCTTTATCTCTATCGTCATCTCCATCTCCATCTTTCCCATCTTATCTCAATTCCCTAATGGTTCTGTCTCTCTGGAGTACCCTGATTAATACAGTGGGTAACTGTAAGCATAAAATTGATTAGAAAAAATTATGAAACATTAACATTTTTAAGTTTAGAAAAATGACCTGTGTGTAGTATAGACTGAATACTGTGATCCTCCAAAGTTCATATGTTGAAACCTAATCCCCAATGTGACAGTATTTGGAGACTGAGTGATGAGTGCCCTTACAAAAGAGACCACCAAATGATGGTTTGTCCCTTCCACCCTGTGAAGTTACAAAGGAAAGTGAGCCCACACCAGACACCAAATCACATTTTTATTGTTCAAAGACCCAGTCTATGGTATTTTTATAGCAGCCTCAACAGAGTAAGACACTATGCATGGGTTTTTATAATATATGAAACAATTTAGCATGCTACATAAACTATAAATTAGGCTTTTAAATATGTGGCTTAATATTTAATTTTTGCTATATGATTTACAAGGTATACAAAAATTTTAGTTTGTAAACATGAATGTATGTATAGGAAAAGTTAAGTTTGATTATTTGACTTTTGTAATGGTTTAAATACTTGAAAAAAAATTTTTTACTATCATTTCTGGTTTTTTATAAGTACATAAAGAGAAAATAAAAATATTGTAAAGTTGTAAATGCAATTTAAAATGATTAAATGAATTTAGCTAATTAACTTATTTTAAACATTATGAAGCTTAATAGATTTATTATAAAATTAGATGTATTGGAAATTAAAACAAAAGCTTGAAGGTAGGCATGGTGGAGCATGCCTGAATTCCCAGCTACTCAGGAGGCTGAGGCAGGAGAATTGGTTGAACCCCAAAGTTCAGTATCAGTCTGGACAACACAGTGAGACCTCTGAGTCTCAAAACAAAAACACAAACAAAACAAAACAAAAACAAAAAAACACAAGTTTGAGAAAAGCTAGATTTACACATTTGTAACATTTTAAAACCGAAGTGGCAGAAAATTGTCTTTTCTGTTCGTAAAGATGTCACGTATGGCTTGGATTGCTAACTACCAATATTTGGCTACTAGTTGTGGCTTAGGGGTCCTTTTCCATTCACTTTCCAGTGTTTAAATTTTGATGCATAGAACTGACAGAGGCTTAAAGGTAAAATATTTTAAGACTATCTCAAATTTTCTAAACTTAAGTAGAGTAAATAAAAATATAAATTAGCTGTCTATGATGTAAAAAAGTCTCCGAAAGGAGGAAAGTACAAGGAACAGGATGCTAATCTAAATTTTGAGTGCTTTTCTCTTGTCAGCCCGTAATCCTATCGTGGATTACAGTCTATCCAAGAGAAGGCTAAAACCACATCTAGTGGTCATTATATATGTGACCTACGATATAGACCATTCAAAAATTTTAATACACTTTTATTGCAGTTTAAAAAATATGTTTTAAAGTTCCAAATTAATAAATGTACATGTAGTAAAACATCACAAAATAAACACGGTCATTATTCAGATCGAAGAATTTTAATAGCACCCTGCAAATCCTGTGAGAGGCATGTCTCAATCATGGACAATACTGCTCAACACAGATAACCACTCTTCTGACTTCCCACAGAATATATTGCCTTTTTCTTTTACTTTTCTTCTTCTCCTTTTTTTTTTCTTTTTAATTTTAGACACTGTTTCCCAGGTTGGAATGCAGTGGTAGTAGTAAGGTCATGACTCATTGCAGCCTTGAACTCAGGCAGTCCTCCTACCTCAGTCTCCCAAGTTGCTGGGACTATAGGTACAAGTGCCACCATGCCTATTCTTTGTTTTACATATTATATTTTCTTGTGTCTTTATTTTTGTAGTCAAGATTTCCATTGATCAATTAATATGCTTCCCCTCACAAAAACAACAGTGCCCTTGCCAGTAAATCTTTTATATCTTCCAATTCTTTATTTAGACATCTATGGGATAAAAGGGCTCATTCAATTTTTTTTTAAGTTTTAGGCTTATAAAGACCATTCAAAGTAGGCTTTCTTTTAATTAATTAAAAATTTATCTTAAAATAGGTATTTATTACTATAAAGGCAAAACCTAGAAGCATTACTTTCCTGTAACCACTGCATTGACACAAATTTTAGTACATTTTTTCATCAAAACATAAATTTTTATTCATGAAATAGGATTGATTACAAAGGTCAGAATGTTTTAACTATCATATTAGGACAACTACTTTCAACTGGTCTTTTCAATAAGAGGGGGAACTTCTACCTAGTTATGTTGTATGAGTTAGCTTATTTCATTTTAATCTATTTATAGAACTATAGGTTATAATGACAAAAACTAAAAACAATATAATAATAATGTTATAGTAAAATGCTACAAAAAAAGAGCAGGTCGCTTACGCATTCCCTTTAACATTTAGAAGAAACTTATGCAATGAGGAAAATGTTTATCTAGTATATTTGACTACTGAGAACTTAAAACGTGGTTAATACCACTAATAAATTTAATTTATAATGCTATATATTAATTAACTTAAAATAAAATGTATATAGCCACATATTGGACAGAACATAAAAAAATTCTGAATAACTTAGATGCCTCAAAATATTTTCAGTTTAATTAATACCTACTAGGTATTTGTTATTTCTTAAGGTACTATATTAAACATCTAAGTATTGTAATATAGATGCAAAGTCCATATGCTAACCCTTAAGTTCTTCATCACGAGTATATATAAATTGATGTTAACTAATTCTAAAAATTAGGTGATTTTACTCATTACACTCATCAAATCAGAGGCAAATTTGGAGGAGGCAAGGATATTAGAAGCAGACAGTTATCACTGATAAAGAAATCATTATTACTGTGAAAGCAAAATTAAAACTATGACTAAACCAATCAAAGAAACAAAACCCAGAAAGGACCAGTAGTCTGGGGTCATTGAATATTTGGGTAATTGTAGCTTCTCAAAGTCCTTGAGGCCCCCTTGGCATAAGAAGATAGTATAGTAATAATGCTGAGTGTGATTTTTCAAGGAAACAAGAAAGTATTTGAGTATGCTCTGCTTAAGAAGGGAAGGTACTGCTTAATAGATCAATAATATGTGCATTACAATCAGTTAATATAACACAAATTTTGATCAAATTAATGAC